ATGGCATAAATTGGAAGTAAAAGTCATGGGACCACTTCAAAGCAAAAACTCACCAATGCCTCCACTAGATACCACAAATCTTGAAATTCTGACAGGGTTAGCTAGCTGAAAAAAAAAAAAATGATGCAACTCAACTAGGTCTGGCTCAGAAACATGAAATACCCAAGTTTAGCTCGTGATAAACACTGGAAGGAACTCATCACTTCCCTGCCACATCAGATCTGTCAAACGGGCCTGGCTTTGTGCACATGGGGACATCTACTAGTAAATCCAATGATTACAAGGCAAAGATTACAGTGATTCTTTCTGCGCGGGTTCGCCATAAGCCCGAGCGGGGACGGGGTGGTGATTGTGTTCCTCGTTGATGGGAGGATGGTTGCCGTGGTAAATGGGGCCTGAGGGGAGACGAGGAGGCCGTAACAGCTTCTCAGCCCCGTGCTATTGTGATTATATCGGAAAAGGAAGTACAGGGTGGGTCGGATGGGCTGCGAAAATACCATGGATATTTATTGCAGGGAGGGGTTGAAAGACTTTGCAAAACTACATCGGAAAATATATGAGTTTCTGTACATTGAACATTAGGGACGCAATGATATCCAAATCTCTGGGTACAATATTATCAGGATATGGTATGTTTTTCAGGAAGTAACAACAACAACAAGACTCAATTTTGTGTAATATAAAACCTTAAAGGGACAGTCCGGAATTTTGTTTAGTTTCTAACTATGGCCATTGACATGCACTAGCCTAGCACTAGCGACCTCTGCAAACACAGAGACTGGATGGAATATTTTTAAAAAGTGTCTCCACACGTCTCCAACACTCTGGCTCACTAGGAAATGAGGTCCTATGTCCAAAATTCCAGACTGTCCCTTTGAAGGAAGACTGCAATGGGCCTCTGTTCTTCTTCTTCTTCTTCTTCTACTGTGCTGTTGGCCATTTAAAGTTGTCCAAATCATTTCATTACATCGTTTGTGCTTTGGAAACCAGCATTGTAACAGCTCAGTGGGGGAGTAAAACAGTCTCTGAGAATAACTTGTCCACTGCAGAGAGTCTGGCAATGCGCTGGTCACACCTTTCATCTACTACTAACACCTAAAAACATTTATTTTAGCAACAAATTGAAATCTAATGCTAGCCAGGAATCTGCAAAGCTACAACAGACAAAGGACAACATTTAACAACAATAAAGTATGGTTAGGCCTGTCATGATAATCACTATATCTTATACTTAGACAAATTTTATTGATCCACAAGGGAAATTATTTGGACACAATAATAAATTCTAACTATGGAGCAGAAATAGCATGAGACTGGTGGAAGAAGTACCAGCACTTGATTTTGTTTTGTTACTTAAGTAAAAGTACAGATACCAGAGCAAAGAAATACTTGTCATATGAAAAAAATAAAAGTAAAGTAAGTAAAGACTAAAAGTAAAAGTATTTCTCGCATATTTTGAGGTCTCAAACTCTAATAGAAATACTTTTACTTTTCAGTCCTGTAGTGGAGTACAAAGTACAGATACATGCTCTCAAATGAAGTGAAGTAAAAGTAAAACGTATCCATTCTAAAATGTACTAAAGTAAAGTAAAGATACCAGATTTTTTTTTCACTTAAGTACAATACTTTACTACTTTTACTTTGTTACATTCCACCACTGCAAATAAAGCATAATTGTATAAAAGTACATAAAAATATATAGAAATAACACAAATATATCTCTGCAATCGACTTATCATTCACTGTATGATGGATGAAACAATAAGTTTTTGTTGTCAATATTTATCAGTATTTACCTTTTCTTTGTATTAGCTGAAGAAAGTTGAATTATGAACAAAAATGATTAATTACATTCAGCCATTTATTTATTGCAGATCAAAAATATTTAAAGGTGTATTGTGTAACTTTTTTGGTGGAGGGTTCATCACCTGCTTGTTTCCATGGATATGTCATTGCTCTGCCTGGAATGTTCCACAATATGACTTTAAACAGCTCTACTTTATATTTCTTCAATTATACGTGGTTTAATAACTTAAAAAAAAACAAAAAAAAAAACATAGAAGAACAGGCATTCTAACTGTGAGTGGGGTTGCCTCTCCACAGATCTGACCTGTAACTTGGCCTGGTTTGGTCATCATGAAGATAGAAAGGTTTAATACCATACTGTGAAACATTCTAGACAAAGTAATGATATTTCCACCAGAAAAGTTACACAGTGCACCTTTAACAATATTGTACATTTTAAATATTTTTATGGATAATTCTGCTTTACGGTGACAATATATCCCACTTCAAAATTTGTTATCGTGATAAGCCTCAGTATGGGTAAATGCCTTGAAAATTCAACAAAGCCCACGGTTAGTAGTAATCTCGTACAGCCTGACCTGCAGCTGCAATTGTTGTTAAGTGTAACTATGGCAACACAAAGGCTTCACCCAAAATAAGGGCCATCGTCAGGGTGGATTTCAAAGCTTGGATTTGTTGGTCAATGAATTAGGCTGCACCGGATAATTACACTGGGTTACTTGAGAAACAACATGGACATAGGAATAGTGATTCAAACAGTTTCATTTTATTTTGTTTCATTTTTTATATTTTTGTTCGTTTTGTTTGTTAAAATCACTAATATTTTTTTAAAATAAGATGCAAGAGCAAATTTCCTTATTTCATTTGTTCAAACATTTCTTCATTATAAGGCATATTTTCATTGTAGTTCAAAAAATTATTATGTCTTCCATTTGATATGATTGCAATCAATAGACACTAAATACTATCTGTATACCAAAAACACAACCATATTTAAAAAGAGATCAATGGATATGTGTTTTTTCATGGCCACTGCTTATAAATGATCGTCTAGAATCTAGAGAAATAAATCGCCCACAAAGTCTGCTGATATTATTAGGTTGATATTATGAAGGGACGATTTTATTATTTTCCTCAACTTATCTCATTGTAATTTAATGCAGACTCTTCCACAACCTTGGTTTAAAACAAACCAGATGCAGTGAAGTCACATTTTTGAAGTGTTTTCTTCGTAGTTAAGTGTTCATATAAGATTTCGTGCATGTTCTTTAGGCAGCAGGTTGGGTCAAACAAAAAATGATGTTCTGCCAATCTATTAATGTTGTTTCCTCATCACAAACAGACTGGGAATTGTGTTTTGTTTCATTCACACATGTTTAACACTCAAACCCTATGTTTTGGCTGAGTTCTTCTTTCAACCAGAAAAAACTGTTCCGCCTTGTGACATCATGTGGTGATACTAAGGGCTCCACTGTGTTTTTAAACTCCATACACCTTCACTAGAATCATTTGGTGATGATTTCAGCCCTGGAAGTGTTCATCTCTGCTGAACAAAAGGTAAAAGGAGCTGTTAACTTGAAAACTACCACACACACACTTCACAATGTGGAACAGACAATTTTTCAGCTGGGGTTGCTCAAACAAAAATGAAACAAAACACAACTCTGGGTATGTTTTTGATGAGGTAACATCCTAACACTGCTTAAAGCTCACAAGAGTCAGTTTTGTGTAATATAGGACCTTTAAGGGTGACGGCTGATAATGCAGAAAGTGCAAATATCAATTTAATAGATCGCTCTTTCTCTATGAAATAGCCACTTTTATTTTATGGTCTTAGTAATGGGTTATTCTTGTACAACTCATCTTTTAAATTAATTTATGGCATACACTTAACAGCCAATACATTCTGGTTGTCGGCTTGAGCACACATTTGGGATACGCTTTAAAAATCTGACATTTGAAACCCATGCTTTAAAGGTGCACTGTGTAACTTTTCTGGTAGAGGGTCCATCGCCTGCTTGTTTCTATGGATATATCACTGCTCTGCCCGGGATGTTCCACAGAAAGACATTAAACATCTCTATCTTACATTTATTAAAATTACAGGTGGTTCTATAGCTCAAAAATGCCAAGAAAAACAGACATTCTGACTGTGAGCGGGGCGTCTCCACAGATCTGACATGTTACTTGGTCTGGTTTGGTCTCCATGAAGATAGAAAAATGTAATATCATACTCAAAAAATTCAAGACAAAGCAGTAACATCTCCATGCAGAAAAGCATTTGATGGACCCAACAGAAAAGTTACACAATGCGCCTTTTAAAGATCCCACTTCTATCTACACAGCTCCATTTTGATGTGTCATAAAATGAACACTCTAAACTCCAGGTGATGTGTGTGGGACGGTCTAAGAATAAACTACAATACCCATGATTCCCCTAACAAAAGGCCAATGTCTTTTTAATAGTTCTGCTCAGATAACCATGGAAACTGTGGATTTGCCAACACAGAGGAATGCTGTTAAGAATATGAATTGACTGTGTGATCATGTTCATGTCATGAAAAAGCAGAAATGAAAGTGGTGATTCAAGCGTGTGATGTCTACAAGCTGTTTCTCAGTGATGGATGGACTGTTCACCGGATGTCCCCAAAATGTGCTTGTTCATAGTTTGGGGAATAGAGCCTTTAGTTTTTATAGCCATGGAGAGGTGGTGTGCAATATTACGGATGTTAAATTCATGTGAGGTTACTGGCACAGGCACATCTGGATTCTACGGCACAGGGGAGCAGTGTAAGTCAAACTAATGAAGAAATGCAAAACTAAAGAAAAAAATGTTGAGCTATATTGTATCCTATTAGATTTCAAATGGCCTTGTAATTCCTGGTTATTACAGGAATGACAATATAATTATTGTAGTCACTGACATAGGTTTGTGATGTTAATGAAGATGCGCGTAATTTAGTCAGTAATTAAATATTACGCAGTCTTATGCTTGTCAAGTGTAAACGTTCCTGCTGGCCAGTGTAGCCTGTAAAAGTGAGAGTAGGGCTGTCTTTTTCCTGCGGGTCGACGCGGTTAAGACTTGACAGGTTTGCTTCACCTCGTAATGAGACACATTTACGACCATCATTCCAATGGTGACACACATATTTGTGACAAAGAGGAGACGTGTTGGCGCATGCAGCAGAACTTACAGTGACACCAGCCCAAGTGGCAGCACCAGTGCAGCTTGAAGCACTTCCCGTGGCTGTGTGTGGCGCAAATGGAGAGTCCATCGCAAGGCAGGAAGTCTGGTCTCCCCGCGCAGCTTTTGGCCAAAGCTTGTGCCTCGTCCAACTTCTCACTTTTCGGACACTTATGTGCTCCCGAGGCGGCCATGCCGACATTTCCCGAGTCCGAATATAAAAACGCACACCGCTACGTCCGGGAAAACTGTTCCAAAGCTGCTGAGCGCGAGAGGAGCTTCTCCTTTCCTCGGGCTGGAGAAGCTGTGAAAGTGGGGGGCGGACGCGAATACCGCTGTGGATGTGCAAACACACCGCAGCTGGCTTTGTGTTCCCGCTACAAATGAGTGTATATAGTCCGAAATCAAGACCGCACCACACGGAGATGTCTTTGGTCTTCGCAAAAGATTCCCATAGTGGTGGGAGTCACATCTTTATATCCACCCGTAACGTCGCGGAGCTCCTGTGTGCGCGCAAACGGAGCAGCGCGCATCTGAACTTCATCACCACAGGAGGAGTCTCTGCGCACACACCGCCTACTTCTGCCGCTTCACAAACTTGAACAGTGACCTCACCAAACATTCAGCACGTCTCCACTTAACGACAAAGATACGCTTATGTAAGCCTACAATACTACGCATTTAAGGTATATTCAAGCCAAGTATTTTTTTGAACACAGAGCTATAAAATATATAATTGTGAGCTGCCGCTAGGTGGCAGACCCAACATCTGCTCCCAGTATGAGATGTAGCGGGGAAATGAATCTAAAGCATTTAACAGCTGTGGTCTCTTCGTTCAGACTCCAGCTGTACGCAGACAAAAGCAAAGCAGCGTTACATGAAGACACGTCCTCCTCCCGGCTAAGAGACACAATTTTCATGCTAGAGAGAGAGAAAAAAAAATCTATCAACATTAATGGGCTGTCGTCACTAAGAAAAATGTAGGGAAGAAAAGACAAAATAAAATTTTATTTATGCATTTTGCATTTAATTTATTATTTGAAGTTTTTTTTTTTTTTTTTTTTACAAAAAAATATTAATTCTATTCATACACATTCATTTATGTATTAACATTTTAATAAAACAAAGGAGATCAAAATATCAAGGCACTTAGGCAATTTCATTAATTTCACATTCATAGCATAATGAAAACTGCATTATTATGTGTTGATTCACAGAATGAAGTAATAGAATCATTATAAAGCTTGGTTATTAAAGTGATAAACAGTAGCCCTCTTATGATGCCTGTTAAGGTTTGATGACTGCCCACATATCAGATTCAGCCAAAGGCACTCTGTGTTACAGTGCGCTGTGTGGGGTCCTCATCACCTCTTTCCATTTCTGAATGGGTGGGCTGCCGCTGGACACCAGCCTCCTCAGCAGACTGCTGGGCTGGAGATAGGGTACATCTGGGTGCTGCTGCTGGTAGTGCTCCAGTCTCTGTAGGACTCGGGACAGTCCCACCTGACTGGCATAGAACATGGGCCCCCCACGGTGCCGGGGGAAACTGAAGCCAAACACATAGATCATGTCTATGTCCTCTGGTCCTGCTGCAATGCCCTCCTGGAGGATGTTGAAGCCCTCATTGATGAGACTGTACAGGCAACGCTCCAGCACCTCCTGGGAGTCGATGCGGCGGGGAACCAGTCCCTGACGAGCCCTGTACTCCTCTAGGAAACTCTGCAGCCAGGGGTCAGGCCGGGCCTCTCTGCTGCCAGCTGGTTCATATAGGTACCAGCCCCGGCCCGTCTTCTGCCCAAAGCGACCCTGCTCACACAGCAGGTCCCCCAGAGGGCAGTACCTGCGCCCTTGACGCACCCTGCTCATCTGTCCGGGCTCCACCAGACCCTCGGCCTTACGCACCTTCCAGCCCACGTCCAGCCCTGACAGGTCGGACATCCTGAACAGCCCCATGGGGAAACCAAACTTCTCCAGGGTATGATCCACCATCTCAGGACTGGCCCCTTCCTCCACAAGAAACACGGCCTGCTCAGCATAAAGCTTCAGCATTCGATTGCTCACAAAGCCTCTGCAGTTGCCCACTGCCACACTGACTTTGCCAATCCTCTTGCCCAACTTCATAACAGTGGCCACAGCCTGAGGAGCAGAGCGCGGTCCGTACACCACCTCCAGCAGCTTCATGAGGTGGGCTGGGGCAAAGAAGTGCATGCCCACCACCAGCTCAGGCCTGTGGGTCTGAGAGGCCAACTCATCTATGTCCAGAGCCGAGGTGTTACTGCAGAGAAGTGTGTCTGTTTTACACACAGAGGAGAGCCGCTTAAAGATCTGCTTTTTCAGGCCCAGGTCTTCAAACACAGCCTCTATCACCAGCTCCACGTCTGCCACCGCCTCCAGCTCCACACTGTAGTGGACCTGATGCTTCACTGAGGGCACTCCTCTCTTCTGAGCTGCCCTGGCCAACATGCCCGACACCGCGCTCTGCCCTGCCATCATCTGCTGCTGCTGTGTCTCCACGGCAACCACAGACAGTCCGGCCAAAGCCAGGGCCACAGTGATACCTCTGCCCATAGTGCCCAGACCTTCAGGGATGAAAACACAAAACAGCATCCTTAAATGAATATTCAAAACTGGAATATTGTGAAGAGAAACCTTGATTTTGGTTACACATTATTATTAAACACACCGCAGAGCAGAAAGTACAAACAACAAAACATATTAGTTTTGACAAAGCAGTATAAAGTTGGCAGCTCAAAGCTTCTGTACACTGGAGTTCCTCATCTAAATTGTCACACATCCAATAGCTGCAGGAGGGGCTCAGCTGACACCATCATGGAAGCTTACTCTCCACAGTCAGTCACAAATAACATGAATCAACACTCATATGTGCTATATTTAAACTCAAACCCAAAGCTCTTACCTATGACGGCGACCTTTGACACATGTTTAGGCTTGCTGTTGTCCCAGCGAGCTCCATTGGGCATGCTCCACCTGCTCACCACTCTCTGGGAGAAGAAGCAGTACTGCAGAGCGCGGGCCTGTCCTGACGTGAACAGGGTGTCCATGAGCTCTCTCTCCCTCTGGATGCCCTGAGCGTAGGGTAGTGTGGCTGCTGCCTGCACAGCCTGGACACATGCCACTGGAGCCATGGCCCCACGGGCGCTCTGTTTGACCCTCTGCATCACCCTTTCAAAAAGGGCATCCATATCAGCAGGGCAGGGGCACGGCAGGGTACTTATCCGGCGGGATTCCAGTGACTGTCCTGAAAAACAAAATGTTATCAACCATTATTCAGATGAAATATGCAAAAACACATACTTTCCAAAGACATGTTTGTCCACACAAACTGGTATCATTTGATTTAGGCTGTTTTTTAGGTAAAAGCTATTCTCCACTTTCCATTTTGGCTGTGGTTTAGGTAATTTTCTTCGATTTGTCGCCTGCACTCACTATAATTGCTTATCCAGCGCACTTATCCACTCAATCACCAGATCCCCTTGTAGCTTCTGAAAGCACCGTGATTTGACAGACCATTTCCCAGATAATCAGGGCGACTCTGCTACAGCTCTGTTACAGTTCACCTTGAATTGAACCACAAACAGGAGAAGTCAAACTATTGAGTCCCTCCATTCCAACCATTTTTGTGTCTGGTGCTAACAACTGGATTTAATAACATCAACAAATTTATTGAAAAACAAGAACTGTTCATCTAGAAAGAGGGAGTCCTCAAAATGACCGCAACAAGTATAAATACAGTAGAGCAGACAGTAGGCTACATAAAGTCAAAATGAAACTAATGCTGTAAATACTGTATCAGCATTTTCAAAGGGATAGAAGTTAAAGAGCAAAAAACAAACCGCACACTTCCACTGTTCCATTTGAGACAGCATTTACATCTTATTTCTTAATTCCTCTTTCTGTTCCCAGTGATATGATTACATGAGACAGTAGTTAGAATCCTTCACAGCTCCACTGAATTACACTCAGCTGTGTCTGGGCCAAAACTGGGTCATCATCACGAGAGCGCAGAGGGGCCCAGCCTGATGCAAGCTCTCCATATTCTAACATATACATTTTAGTCATTTAGAAGAATCAAACCACAAGAAGAGATGATTAAAGTCTTAAAGAGAATGTTACGTGTCCCAGTGTACTGTATTTTAACTGTATTTTATTTATTTATTATCATCTCTTGTCTGTTTTCTGTACATTTTTTTAACTTTAATTTTACATATATATTAACGTAATAAATTGTCTTTTTTGTAATTAAATTTTTAAAATTTTATTTTATATACAGATTTTTTTTTTATCTATAAAAAAATATTAATTAAAAATAATAATAAAAAATAAAGGTCATAAATTCAAAGTCAAGCAAGAAAAAAACAAAACAAATCCTTCATAGACATTTCAGTGCTATAGAGTTGTACTTTCTACCATGGACATTATTGTACCATATTTTATTTATCATTTTTTGTATAATTTATAATTTTTTCCATTAACCCTGTACCTTTATTACCAGCAAAAAAAAATCTCAATAAAAAGATTAAAAATAAAATTTTAAAAAAGTCATAAATTCATAGTCAAAGAAAATATATAAATAAATAAATTCTTCATAGACATTGTACAGTTATAGAGTAGAGAGTAGTCTTTTCTACCCTGGACATTATAACGTGGTTAATCTGTAAATGGTAGAGCTATGTCAGTGGATTTGTTGTGTAGCTTGTAGTCAGCCTGCTCACCCTGACAGATGTAGTTGGCAGATGTTCCAACCGCTGGGCAAAAAAGTTAATCTCATGACCAATAACAGCCCCATCCCCAAACCCCTGTGCCAACTCTGCAGCATTTTACATTTAAATCTATAACTCAACAGATGTAGTCCATGGTATATATTTCAGTATCGCAGACAGAGTGGCCCACATAAATTTAGCAGCTCGATCTCTGTCCTCATTTGACTCTGGGCGCTAATCATCTCATGACCAGCGCGTATCACTCAAAATCTCCACCAGATTTTCCCTCCAATCTCCACAAAGCTCCATCTTGTATGCGGTTGGCTTCTCTGTCTGACTCCGTTAAACCAGGGCTTAAAGGTGCACTGCGTAACATTTCTAGCGGAGGATCAGACACCTGCTTGCCTGCTTATTGCTTTGTCTAGAATGTTCCACGGTAAAGATTAAACCGACCTATTGCGAGGGAGATCAGCAGGTTACAGCACGACGCTACGTTACAGTTCGGATCTGTGGAGAGTCACCCCTATTCACAGGAGGAAGTATTGTATTTTTGAGCAATAGAAACTAGGGGCGTGCAAAAATATCTAAATATTGATATATCGTATCGTTTAATGTGATGATACAGTATCGATATCGTGAGCTGCTGTATCAATATATTGGCAAGAGTAGTTTTTAGTATATTTTAATAAATTATTTTGTTATAGCTACAGTTTTGTTGCTTGTTTAGAGGAAGTAACTTGTTTATTTGACATTTTCACTGTTTTGATGATTAAAATGTGTGTGTTTCAGATTAACTTGGTACAAGAAGTGGTTTAACAAAGACTTTTAGTATCACAGCCATGATTTTGTCTTTATTTTCACTGAACCGAATCAAACCGATTTGAAATATATCGTATCGAATCGAAAGCTCACCGTATCGAGGTATGTATCGTATCGGCAACTTCTTAATGATATCCAGCCCTAATAGAAACATCTGTAATGGATAAATGCTAGTTGGATATGGTTAATGTTGCACCACGGAGCAATAACATCTCCATGGAGACAAGTAAGTAGCGGGAACTCCGCTAGAAATGTTACGCAGTGCACCTTTAAATAACAATCCTCACTCACTTGCTCACCCACTCAAACACATCTCGACTGACAGCGCTACACTGAAAAATATGAAGGAACAGCTGAATTTTGTGAGTCATTTCTTGCTGTTTGAGGTTGATTTTTATAAAGTGATTATGTTTTTTTTTACAGAGTTGTTATAATGTTAGCTCCTCCCACATGACGAGGGCAGAGAGTAGGCATTATTGGTGAAGTGTTTTGCTTAAGGACACAAGAGCATAATGAAAACTCAAACTACCAAAACTTAACAGAGGACAGTTACTAGTGATGTAACAATAGCCAAAATATCGTGATATCGCATCGTCAAAAGTCTCACAATAATATCGTGGGCCATCACAATATATCAAATTAGAAGTCTCTTTGCTTAAATTAAGAGTTATGGTGCAGCAACAGCTAAACAAAAAAAGGTGGAACTACATAGACCATGATCCTTTGCTCTGTTTCAATGCAGTTACATGAAGAAATAACTGTTAAAACTTTGAAATCTTACTTTGGATTAAGTCTTGTCAAGGCATTTTAAGAGGAAAAAGTAGCAAATTCACACACTTAGCCTCCACAAAATATCACAATAAATATCGTACCGTGAGGTGCATTTTGTGAAAATATCATACCAAGAAATATGGAGATCGCTACATCCCTAACAATTACTTACATTGTTATTTCTGTTCCTGTAGACTTTTTTGTTAGTATATATAAAATTGAGAGAATTATCTGACATAAAGCCAAAAAAATTATTGGCTTGGGAAGGGCATCTGGATTAAACCACTTTTCACTTACTTCTGACATTTCTTACAACCACGTGCGGCTATGTGAATCAAAAATTGGGTCATTTCTCAACAGCAGACATTGCGTAGATGAAACGTTAATATTCTCAGCGGACCGAGCATTTAAAGAAGATTGAAGTGGGTCAGTGTTTTAAATGTTCAGAGCTCAAAGTGATATCATGACGGCAGTGTCAGCGCTACAATTATGGCAATGCCCCAGTTTGATTCTATAAAGGTCCACTATGTAACTTTTCAGGAGTGTCTGCATAGAGGTGTAGTAATCAAAATTAACATCTCTCCATAGAGACAAACAAGTGACATCAGCAGGCCAAGTTACAGGTCATAGGATATTGTGTCTTTCAAGGTATTTTTTAGCAATAAAATATTATAATTAACAAATGCAAAATAGATAAGTTTACTAGAGCAAGGCATTACAATTTAAAAGGTATCTACATGTTTAAAAAAAAACAGATTCAGAACCAAGGTTATGGAGCGAAGCATCACTGTGAAAGGAGTTAAATTATGGAATAGTCTCGACAAAGACATAAAAGAATCAAGTCGAATGACGGCTAGGGGTGTGCAAAAATATTGAAATATCGATATATCGTATTGTTTAATGTGATGATACAGTATCGATATTGTGAACTGCTGTATCGATATAACGCCAAGAGTATTTTTAGGTATATTTTACTAAATTATTTTGTTACAGCACTACAGTTTTGTTGCTTGTTCAGAGGAAGGAAACTTCTTTTGTTCACTGTTTTGATGATTAAAATGTTTGTGTTTCATATTCACTTGGCACAAGTAGTTGTTTAACAAAGACTTTTAGTATTTATTGAACTGTATTGAATGGACTTGTAATATATATATAATTATAATACCATATTGAATTGAAAGTGCAGTGTATCGTATCGTCGCCTGTGTATCAAGATATGTATCGTATCAGCAACTTCTTAATGATACCCAGCCCTAATCACAGCCATGATTTAGCCATTATTTTTAATTGAACTGTATCAAATCAATTTAAATATTTATCATACTGAATCAAAAGTGCACTGTATCGAGATATGTATCGTATCGTGGCCTATGTATTGAGGTATGTATCGTATCGGCAACTTCTTAATGATACCCAACCCTAATGATGGCATTTAAAAAACACACATAAAATCCAGCGCAATGTGTATGTATGAAAAAGGAGCATAATAGTGAAGATTTCAGTTTGCAGTTGATGTGACTGATTGTTACTGAACTGAAACGCACTGATTTGAAATGTGCGAAGGAAGTGACTATCAGTGTTAATGTTTTGTCTGGAAAAGGAAAAAGGGGGCAGATAACATAAGATTACTTTTCTTTCTGCTCCTTTTCATTCATGTTGTGACACTGTTAATGTCTTTTTATACTTTATGAATGAAATAAACAAACAAACAAAAAATACTATGATATTTTGGCAGGTGGCGAATGCTCCACCAGAAAAATGACACAGTGTAGCTTCAAGATTTGAGTTTTCCGCTATCTGCCAGACCACTGCATCATGTTACAAAAAACCTAAAATATTTGTGGGCTGTTTAAATAATTTCATCTGACCTACTTCTACAAGAAAGCAGGGGGTGGGACTTGCAGATTTGGACAAGATTATCACCACAATGCCAAAACTGCACTCCCCCTTCAATGGGCTTCAGATATTAAAAAAAGAAAAGAAAATGAAACTACCATCAGATCTTTGCTTAAAAGACCTAATTCGAGTATCTCTCTGTTCGAGCCTGATGATCCCTGATGACTGAAGATGGATCTCTTTGCAGTGACACAAGAGGTTTTCACAGAATTCAAGCACCATTCTCAAGTGCTTCATTTTACTAAAAAAAAGAGAAAGAGAAAGAAAGAAAAACACACACAAGAGAACGACAACAAAACCCTAACCACATAATATTTGCAGCACAACCCCACTGTAGCATTTGTAGCTTGTGTGAGAATGGTGCCCTGACACATTTGAAAGCCTTGCGTGTTAAATATTGATCAATTTGAAATCATATTCTAGTTTTCGCAGCAGCAGGCCTGTCAGTTGCTGCTATTATAGTGTATGTGAATGGGGAACTCTTTGTACAGTTTGAGCAGTCATTGTTCCTCACTACAGGGACACTTAAAGCTTCCATTGAGCGCAGATTAGCTTGATTTGTGAAGCGGCGCTCCTATGCAACTGCCGAGGTCCATTATTAATATTCCAGGAAAGTTTGTCCCTTTTCGCCCTCTTTAATAATAGAGTAAAAGCTGTGAAGACATCAGAGCACATCTGACACAGGCATGCAACATTTATGGATGGAGGAGTGGAGGAGGAGCTGCTGTGTGCTCTTCCGCCTTTGACTTCCTCCACCTATACCTCCACACTTTTTCATGTTGGACTATGTTGAAAGAGGTTCCCGGTTCCTGGAGGGATACTGCAAACTTTCACTCAGTTTGATTTGAAAGAAGAGGGATTGTTTTTTTTAGAATTTTAGAGTTGCGTATGCTAGGCTTGTCACTAGGGATGTAACAATAAGTGGAATATTGTGATATCGTATCGTCAAAGTTCTCACAATAATATCTTGGACCATCACAATATGTAAATTACAAGTCTTGTTAATGAGATTCGTTTGGTTTTCCAATATTTTATGTTATTAGGTTAGGTTACAGACCAAGAGTTTTTTTCATATCTGACATTTTCGACTGCTCACTAGTGGTCTTTCTCAGAGTGGTCACGTGACGTCAACTGATTTATACAGGTTTTGGCACAGTCTTCCTACTGGTGGAGGGAGGATGACAGCGCCATCTGCAGTCCAACGTCCTCAGGACAGTATCCCAGGAGCAAACATTCAAATCATTGGGACAGAAGAAAATAAACATCGCCGCTGGATTAAAGAGGCAATCAAAATACGGAAACGTGCCCACGGGACTATAAACCGGAAAGAGGCGGCTTTTTTACTCTCACACACCTGGGATACTGTCCTGAGGAAGTCGGACTGCAGATGGCGCTTTCATCCTGCCTCCACCGGTAGGAAGACAGCGCCAAAACCTGTTTAAATCAGCTGAACAGACACGTCACAGCAACATCACGTGACCACTCTGAGGAAGACCACTAGTGAGCAGCCAAAACTATCAGGTATGAAAACAAACTCTTGGTCTGTAAAAAGAACCTAATAACATACAAGTCTTGTTTTTTAAATTAAGAGTTATGGTCCAGCAATAGCTAAAAAAAGACAGAGGGAACTACATAGATCCTTTACTCAATTTCAGCCTAAACTACATGAAAAAATAACAATTCTAAATACTTTTAAGTCTTCTTTGGATTAAGTCTTATCAAGGCATTTTAAGAGGGAAAAAGGAGCATATTCACATTTTTGTTTGCCTCCACAGAATATCGCAATAAATACCATACCTTGAGATGTATATTGTGAAAATATCGTACTGAGAGATTTGGATACTGTTACATCCCTAATCGTGAGCCTCCCCACCATATCATGAGCTTTCCCACGATATCGCAATAAATATCGTACTGTGAGGTTAATATCGTAACATAAGACTTAGATATCGTTACACCCTTACTTGTCACGATAACAAATTTTGAAGCAGGATATATTGGTGAAAATATGATAAACTATAATATTGCAACTATTATTCCATTTACAAATTAACCCATGAGCAGATTTAAACTACAAAAACTACAGCAATATTAATAATAATAATATCATCAGACTGAAATAGCGCTTTTTTGGACACTCAAGATGCTCTACAAACAAATAAGAAGCAACACTAACTATTCAAAATGTACATTTACATAAATAGCAGAATGAAGCACTTAAGTATTTAGTTTGCATCTGTAATAAGTCATAAGTTATTAATTTAACTTTCTACAGCTCAAATCTCATCATATAGCCAAAAAAACAACATTTCAGGCAAACGTTTCTGAGTAGTAAAGAACAAGTCCATTTCATACATAGTTATTATTGTGATGGGCCTAGTGTATGTGCGATTTATCTGTATACTTACCCACAACACTCAGAGCAAACTTGATAGCAGCTTCCACGGTGTTTTTGTCAGTGACCTGGTCCACCATCCCGAGCTTTAAGGCCTCCGCTGCAGTCACATAACGACCTGGAGAACACATTAAAGATGCACCGTGTAACTTTTCTGGAGGAGGATCTGTCAAATGCTTTTCTCCATGTTATAGCTTTGTGTGGAATGTTTCACAGTATGGGATTTAGATCAAAACCAGCCCAAGTTACAGGTCAGATCAGGTCACAATGTTTGTTTTTCTAGGTATTTTTGAGCTGTAAAACCACCTGTAATTGAATAAACGTAAGGTAGAGCTGTTTAATGTCATACTGTGGAACATTCCGATATCCGAAGAAACAAGCAGGTGACAGACAATCAACCAGAAAAGTTACGCAGAGCACCTTTAAAGACATATGATGACATCTGCGGGAATGTAGAGGTTTTTAAATCATTCACATCCTAAATAGGGAGGCATGATCTTTTATTAAACGATTAAATGAACCCTGATGTGCTGAATATTTCACTGGAGTGTGTAATATCATAAGCCCCTTTATATGATGAAATCAACTCTGGACTCTCCATCAGAAAGAGCACTCTGAAGTCTGAAAGTAAGCAGTGACCTCTGCTGGTCAAACTGAGTAACTACCAGTTTAATTTATCTGAACGTAATAAAAGATAAACTGTTGTGTATTGATGAAATGTATTACTTTTCTTCTCCTTTTATTAGTTTTTAGTTTTAAGACACCACACCAAGACAAAAAAGACAAACAAACAATTATTTTAAAGAGCAAGAAAACATTTTGCTTTTATTGTTTTCTTGAACTGTGCAGTATAGTCAGAGTGACACTCCGTTTGCACCTGCAAGTTCTTTTACTTTCCAGTAAAGTGAAGTGATTAGGCCTGTCACAATAATTACTATATCGACTTATTGTTGGATATATGAAATCTGGAACAATATTTTTAGGGGTTAATACTTTTCGTGTGTATATTTTCTTTGCACCACTGGGAAATTTGTTGTTACCTTTTGGCAATATGATTTGATTTGAGCTGGATTAGTTTGAATAAATAACTTCTATGAATCATTACAGGTGGAAACTAAGTACTAAGTGTTTTATTTTGTTTTATTTTTTTCCTATATAATGCAAAATTGGTGAGCTATTAGCCATGTTACAATGCTGTTACCTCATCAAAGACAGACCTGGAGTTGTGTTTAGTTTCATTCATACATTTGAGTAATCCTGTACTCAAAATACTCAGTTCCTCCTTGTGATGTCATGAATCAAGGAACAGCATGTTTTTAGTTTGAGAGAAGAGAGAAGTTTGTGTGTTAAACATGTGTGAATGAAACAAAACACAACTCCAGGTTTGTTTTTGATGAGGAAACAACATTATAACACAGATCAAAAAATAGCGTAATATGAGCCCTTTAACAATATTGTTGATTTAGAATAGCTTTTGTGGTCTAAATCTGCTCCTGGTTGTTGTGTCAGTGGCCGAAACTAGTCTCAGTATTATCGTTTATCATCTATAATTTTTTCAGCAATACATCATGTTTCAAAATGTGTTATCGTGACAGGCCTAGAAGTGAGTAACAGCTTAGGAAAGTCAGGCTGTTTTTGTTACCTGTGGTGATGAGGTCTAGGGCAGCTGGGACCCCGATCAGCCTTGGCAACCGCTGCGTCCCCCCCGCAGCTGGCAACAGGCCCAGCAGCACCTCTGGAAGACCTAACTGAGCCTGCAAATGTACAATACACAAGTCCAGATGAACAGAGTGTACTGGCACAAGCTGAGGTCAAGACTACAAAAGCACTAATGTGTAACTGATAAGGACTGATCTGGATTCAAGCATGTAGCAACTGATTAAATATTAATGGCCGTCACACTCCCTTAGTCCACTTCTTTAAACAGTCTATCAGTGCAAAGACACAATAATCCCAGATACTAATGGATACTAAATTTGAGCATCTTGTACTGAAAATGTTTTCCTTATGACCTACTCTACACTGCTGAGATATTTTTATTACTTATTTCTAGTTCTAAGTTCTCTTATTTCCCTTGTGGATCAATAAAGTTTGTCTAAGTCTAAGTCTGAGTAACCGTCAGATCTTGATGCAACCTGACGTGACATTTTCAGGACATAAATGTGAGGAGACAGAGGTGGATTCGAGGCGTGAACTCACTTTGGACTGTGAGATTCGGTAATGACAGCCCAGTGCCAGCTCCAGACCCCCGCCCAGAGCGCTGCCCTCGATGGCGGCCACCACGGGTTTGTTCGCGACCTCTATGGCGTCAATCATTGGCACTACGTGAGGCCCTGACATAGGCTTGCTAAACTCCTTGATATCTGCTCCTGTTACAGAGATTGCACCTATTGTTGTTATTGTTTATTAAAGAGAGATTACATATTAGACGACATTTCTATTGTTCCATTTTGCATATCTCAAAAGCACAGTAAAATGTGGTAAGTGGTTGGAGCTAGCATTGTAACTGGGATAACAAGAAAAAAAAAAGTATTTTGCAAGAATGTTTTGCAACTAATAATAATCTTCATACTAGGGTGGGCGATATTGGCAAAAATATATCCTGATGGCAATGAACAATTTTATGGCAAAATTATTAATCAGAAATGTGTTATAATGCCCAAGTAAAAAAGTGAATTTATTATAAAATTAAACCCAGAAGAGCTGAATTATCACTTATTCCATTACAGTGAAAATGTGTTTTGCTATTTTTAAACTGCTCTTTAAAAAAGCATTAAGCATGAAACCTTCACAGCCCACCATATTTGTGTTGTTTTGATTCATGTCAGTGAACTTCTGGTACCAGAAGAGAACATCATGTGCTACCAGTATATACTTTTGTTTCAAATGACTGCAAGTAGTTACATTATAGCATTACTTAAAAAAGTTATCTGATTACAGTAATCCCTTACTTTGTAACTAGTTACCGTCCAGTAATTTAATAGTAACTGTCCACTTTAATAGTAATTACCATACTATTAAAGTGTTTCCAATTGAACTTGTACCCACCTGCACAAAAGACTCCATTCTGCCCACAGATGACCACAGCCTTCACTTGAGGGTTGCTCAGAGCTTTCTGCACAGTGTCTACAATGCCCTGTCTGACAGCAGCACTGTTTCAAACACAAACATATGAATAAACTGTAAACTGTGCCAGCCTCAAGCCTGCAAAAAAGTATATGTTTTGTCAGAAAATGTGTCTTTTATTTGTTTTATTGTTGTTCTCTAATTGGTTTGATTTATGTCATAATATTCTTGTGTTCATTATTATAAATTTTGGTTCTTCTTTATTTTTATTGTTTCAGACTACGTAAATCAGATATCATACCTGTGCTTAACATCAGAAGACTGACATTTTATTTAGCATATTTATAACAGAAAAGTAGCTATGTGCAATTGCTAGTCTATAAAATCCTGAATATTGTGCTGCAGGAAGGATGTTGTATTGTTTCAGTAGGAAATGGCTAGTTGATCTAATAGGTGACCAGGGAGGTAAAGCAAGAATACTGGCACTTACCCCAGTTCGAAAAACCTTTATTTACAGACACCAGATAAAGTGCACTTTACTTTTGACTGCTTAACTCACCTGAGTGCGTTGACAGGAGGATTTTGGAGAGTAATCAATCCAACTGAGCCCGAGACAAGAGTCAAAGCTGCCATGTCGATGTCAGAGCTGTGGTCACCGTGGCTTCAGGTTAAGAAATGGACTATGGAACTAAAGTCGCATTGCACAATTTAATATGATTGTATCTTTCGCGGACTGCACAAACCCTAAAACAGTCTTCTTCTCATTGTTAGATTGCAAGCGTGGAACTTTACTGCCTCCTACTGCACGACATTGGGACGAATTGATGAGGAATTCGTAATATATTAATAACAATAAAATAAAATTAATTAAATACATAAATTTGTAATAACTAAAGTAAATTGAGTAAAATATCCTTTTAATAAAATTATTCTTTTGAAAACTTATTATTATATATACTGAAATTATTATTATTGTTATTATTATTATTATTATTATTATTATTATTATTATTATTATTATTATATTATTATTATTATTATTATTATTATTATTATTATTATTATTATATATTAATTAATTATTTTTTTTTTTTACAAAAGGAAAACAACACTTAGATTTGATGACAGGATGTGACGACACTGCAGGGTTCTTCTGCAGAGATCCTTTACCGGTAGAGATTGTCATCTTATAAACAAGCTTGATTAATTACACTATTAAGCTATAATTACTAATTTGCTGTTATATGTGTAGTATTACCAGAAGTTAAAACTATTTCTAATTCATGATTTTTAACAGACTTTGATTTTTGATAAGATATTCATTTTTCCGTGTTTCTAAAGAGTGCTTGCGATCTCCCTCTCACAAAGACTCTTTTAGTTCCGCCTTCCCATGTTCGCTCACGCACGGCAGACACAGCAGAGGTGAAGGAGCGCCTGGTTTGGACTGCAGAGCGGAGAATATGCGCTCAGTTTTCGGACTTATAGCTGTAGTTTTTACAGCCAGCCTCTATCTATATTTACTCTCCCAGTATCTCCCCCCTGCACCTCGGCGACGTGCTCCTCCCGCTGCCGAAGCTGAACATGTGGAGACAGAGCAGCCTTTGCAGAAGCCAGCGGACGAGCCGATCAGGTTTGTTTATGTTAGCTGAAGCTAGAGTTAGCCAAGGGAGATGTGCTTATAGTTTATGTATTGTTTCACTCGTTTCACCATAAATTCTTCTACAGGGCTCTACCAAGACAAGGCGTTTGACGATAATGAAATGTGGTGTCACGATTATCATGGCCAAAACAATCGCGATTAACGATTATATTGCGACAATCTTACAACAGAATTTTGCATTTTAACCATTTTAATTTTAACTGGCCCCCATCTGTATTAGTTAATATTGTCCTATAGAATGCTGTGAGGTTATCTGAAACCCAGTAATGAATAATTATAATTTTGATGTTATGAATAAGTTCCAACTTTTATATAATTGTTCTTTGTTATAAGTAAAAGCCACCAAGATCTAGCAGAGATCATGATGGGTAAGTAGCTTTGTTCTACACATGTTGGTGATAAAATAACAATTGTTTTTGTTGGCGATTGATTGTGGGACATTTTATATAATCATGATAACCACCAACAAAAATAATTGCCATTTTATCACTAGAATGTGTGTGATTATCACGCTTATAACATTATAAATGTCTCACAATTATTATTTTATTATTTATTGTCCCATCCCTAACCTAGACTGCCCTGATTTTCTAAAAGGTTTGATCAGTAATCAATAGATCAATCAGTAAATCCATACCTTGTTTTATTTTGTAAAGCTGAAATAACATTAAAATATTACTCATTTCTGTTCAACAATCTGAATCAATTTTTTTAAACAGTGATGTTTCAAGTGTAAATGCAGTAAGTTGATTTTATTTTCAGTGTGATAGTAATATTTCATTTTAGTATCTTAACTTTTTTCATGTCTTGTAATGTAATGAGTTATGTATCAATGAGCTTGAACTAGGTACCAACCATGGATCCATAATAAAAACTGGATCTTATTATACTCTTATTGTACTAACCAATAAATATTTATAGTAATTACTTAGTTCTTAACACAGTCGTTTTGTCTGTTATGCTAATATTATTATCTTTGTTTTATCTACATGCATTAAAACCAGATGTCCAGTCAAATTCTGCAGGGCTGATGATCTGAATTGCTGAGTTTCAGATGACATCAAAACATTCTATTGGTCAATATTATTTAATACAGATAATATAGCATGGTCTTGGGTCTAGTCAGTAATATAAATGTTGAGGTTTCATATTTTGGAATTTACCTTTCTGATATTTCATGGTAAAGTTAAAGTATAATGTAATTAACAGGAAAAACTGGGTCTTGCTCCCTATTCTGGAAGTATGACATCACATTGTATCTGAAAACCTTCAACAGATAAGTGCCTGAACTCTGCATGTTTCCCTCAGATTAAAGTTCCCGTCTGACCTGGAGGAATTGAGGGAGCTGGCTGAGCTGCTGCAGTTTTATAAGACAGAGCACACTGGATATGTCCTGCTTCTATTCTGCAGCGCATATCTCTACAAACAGTCCTTTGCCATTCCTGGCTCCTCATTCCTGGTGAGCTAAAAATAAGTTCAAAATGTTTTCTTTATTGGTGCCAAACTTCACACAATAACCTCTCCGCTGTCATGTGTGTATGTTTTATCTTATTTTTAGCTGTTATATGCAATAGAAGTATTTTGATGTGCTGGTAACACTTTCTTAGAACAGTCATTCAGTCTGATCTTGCCCATTTGGACTTTGCCTGGAAGTTGTCAGTGTATGACTTGTACTACCTTATCCACTAATGCTGTATCTGTAGATAGTAAGCGCACCAACTTCTCACAGCATGCTTCTGTCAACGTACACGCAAAGCTGTTATGTCTGATGTGCGCGGTTTCTCATGCCTGGATGTCTCATGTATTAACACAGTCCTTGTCCTGTCTCATCTCCATACAGAACATTCTGGCGGGGGCTATATTTGGACTCTATGAAGGCCTGTTTCTCGCCTGCCTGCTCACTACAGTGGGCTCCACTCTGTGCTACCTCCTGTCCCAAGCTTTTGGAAAACGCTATATTGTCAACTTCTTTCCTGACAAAGTCTCCACACTGCAGAAGAAGGTTTGTATGCCATAGTTAAAGGTGCACAGTGTAACTTTTCTGGTGGAAGATCCATCAAATGCTTTACTCCATGGAGATGTTATTGCTGTAAAGTTTTAGGCATTTAGTCGTTCAGTCAGTTAATCAGTTGAAGGTGTATTAGTTAACAAATCACTTTATTTAGATAATAAGGAGACAACAGCAGAAAAAAATTACTGAATTAGCTGAGGATTTAGGAGTTTTTAAAAAGTCAGATTAAACTCATGATTTTCAAGTTTAATCTTTACTCTTTATCTAAGTACATAAATACACACGATATAAATACACTCCATAAATAGTTGTTTTGTAGTAACTCCTGTGCATGTGTAGTCTTGTTAGTGCACTTTGCTTTAGGTACATACAGCGATACGTAATAGTTTTGAAAGCTTTTGCCATACCCCCATTTTAGTGGACTAATCACCTAGCCTGGCGTATCTTTAATGAACCAAGAATTTCTTAAGTCAACTACAGCCCTACAACGATGTAATGCAATTGTGCTGGTTCTCTATTGATAGCTATTTTAAATTTATAGATGTTTTCACAACAACATTTTCAAACAGGTTTCTTGTTACAAATCCGGTCAGACAGACTTGCTTTTCTCTGCCAGTGTTGTCAAGTCCCGTTTTGTTTGTGTCTGTCATACGTATACAGGGGATTATTTCATGAAGTGAGCTAAATTGAAAACCTGTCATATTTGGGAAGCTAGGCTTGTTCCACCGAAGTGATTGACCAGAGGTGAGGCAGAGTTGCTGCAGTAACAAGCACCCGGGCACAAACTTGGTCAATATTTTAGCTTTGTCTTTAAGAACGTCTAAGCTGTTTGTCAAAAGTTTCACCACGTGTACTCACAGACCTGTGTCAGAACACCTGTCTCTGTTTGATCCAGTTTAAAAAGTGACCTTTATAGTCGTGTGTCGCTTGAGATTTTTACAGTCCATGTGCTGCTACGCACTGGACACGTGTGTGTGGACGCTGCATTCACCAAAAAGGCACAAACCATATAAAAGCCTATGATCATTATTTCATTCAAAAGATCATGTACATGTGGCTGTTGTGAGGGGCAGTGCAGCTTTTACGCACAGTCAGAAGCTGGTTTGGACTCTGAGGGTGAACTGGTTTTTAGTGGGTTCTGTCTTTTCGCTCCTTCATCACGTCTGTCTCTCTTCATTCCCTTGTCTCTTGCTCCCTGTCGAACTGCAAACACGTCGGCGCAGATTTTTTATTTTACGTTTCTTCTAGGCTACATGTGAAGAGTTCCGTTATTGCTTTACTTTTACCCATAGCTAATCGGGAAAGGTCAGGCAACTTCATTCCCCTGGCGTATTAACCAGGATCCGCACTCCTCAGTCAGCCTCCTCTCTACCGGCAGAGTGAACAGGAGCAGAGGGGGAGAGAACAGGAGCAGCGGGGGGAGTCGTGTCTTTCCTCTTGCTCCTCAGATCAGGATGACCGGATAAGTTCCATTGTCCAAATCAAACTCTTGTCCGTGCGTGCTGTGGCTCCTCTCTTGTTTAATCAGATAATTTTCCCATTTTCCATGATGTCATAGCGCCATTGATCTGGCCTCTCTGAGAGTCACCGCGAGTGCGCACAAAGTGCATCTTAAACTTCAGGCCTGAATTATCTTTTTTCTGGCTTATTTCTGTCATGGAACAACTTGAGGCTTAAGCTGGAGATGGAGCTAGATTCATCTCAGGATTTCAGAATAAGCCTGGACTTGTTAAGCGACTTCAATGAAACACCCTCCAGGAGAGCCTTGTCTTGTTTTGAGAATGTTTTCAATACTTACTGAAATATTGCCAAATGAGTAGTGATGAGGGATTCTGTCTAGTCAAAGATGCATTGTGTAACCTTTCTGGTTTAGAGTTCTCCATGGAGATGTTATTGCTTTGTCTGGAATGTTTTCCAATATGATATTAAACCTTTCTATCTTCATGGAGACCAAACCAGACCAAATTACAGGTCAGATCTGTGGAGAGGCGACCGCGCTCACAATCAGAATGCCTGCTTTTCTTCACTTTTTTGAGCAATAAAGCCACTTGTAATTTCATAAATGTAAGGTAGAGCTGTTTAATGTCATACTGTGGAACATTCCAGGCAGAGCAATGTCAGATCCATATAAACAAGCAGGATCTCACTGAACAATGAAACTTAATGAAAACCTCTGAAGTAGCTTTGTCATGACTGTCATGTTGTTTTCTAGAATAATGGTGTGACATGTTTTGCCCACACCTGCAGGGAGGTCATTTGCTTTGAAACGTTGGACCAATTTTGCCCTCTACTGTCAAAAGTTTAACATGCTCGTATGCTGTGCTTACAAAGGCACAATGAATCATGTTCTATAACCAGACACTGTTTTTCACTTTTAAAAACAAAACACACAGTCTGTACATTGATAAAGCCTAAATTTATTTTGAGATTTTTGTGTTTCTTTAAGGGTGCTCTGTGTTTTTAATAGAGAAACTGCCACATTCTTGACTCCATGTCGATGTTATTGTCTTTTCCTGGACTTTCTCTAGTATTGGATTTAATTAAACTCCCATCTCTCCATGGAGACGAGCAGCCACATCACCAGGCCAAGTTACAGGTCGGATCTGTGGAGAAGTGGACCCTCTCACTGTGAGAAAGCAGGTTTTTGTGGTAGTTTCGAGAAATAAAAAGTCCCAAGACTAGGGGAGGAACGACATCCATATTGTGGGAAAAGCTCACAATATGGTGGGGAGCCTCACGATTAGGGATGTAACGATATCCAAATCTCTCTCTATGATATTTTCACAATATACATCTCACGGCACGATATTTATTGTGATATTTGTGGAGGCAAACAAAACTTTTTTCCTCTTAAAATGCCTTGACTAAGACTTAAAAGTGCTTAGAACCGTTTTTTTCTTGCAGTCTGCACTGAAATGGAGCAAAGGATCATGGTCTATGTAGTTCCCTCTGTCCTTTTTTTTTTAGCTATTACTGCACTGTAACTCTTAAATGCAGGATATATTTGTTTAACACCATAATGTCTCCATGGAAACAAGCAGATGATGGACCCTCCACCAGAAATGTTACACAGTGCACCTTTAACTACCTTTGGAGCATTCAACCAATAACAAAACTGCAATGGTTTGATATCCCATATATTTGGATTGTAGAGAGAAGGAATCACACAAACTATTCTCTCTTTTTCAGGTGGAGGACAATCAGGACTGTCTTTTCTTCTTCCTACTCTTTCTGAGGTTTTTTCCGATGACGCCCAATTGGTTCCTGAACATGTCTGCTCCCATCGTCAACATCCCAATCACCTTCTTCTTCGGTTCTGTTCTCATCGGTAAGACTACTCTCTAAACTCTGGTGGGCTGGGAGTGCATCTGTATCCCTGTTACACAATCATCATATTATAGATTGTTTGTATTGCGTAACTCCACCCACACGTGTCCCCTGAGAGGCAAATGTCATCTGAATACTGTGCTGCAGCTCGTTTTGATTTTATTTTGTACCCACTTATACTGTCACCATGTTTAAAAATATTAATAATGAAAAAAAATCATCACAATTAACTGGACTGGACAATACACCATTGTGCTTTTCATATTAATGTATTTTATTTTATTATTTGAGGTTTAATAAGCTTGTCATGCTTATTAAAACACCTGCTTTTATATTTAATCAATTAGAGCTCTATAGTTTTTTGTGTAAGTACGGCATTAGAAGTGTTATAATGGCGGCATAATTATACCTAAGTTTTATGAAGAAAATTGTCTGTATAGATCAATATCCGCTTGGAACAAACAATTATTTAAAATGCCATGTGTTCAATTAAGACTAAATTTTCTACAAATGGATCTATAAATGTTCAATACTTGATGAACTTAAATTCAACTGTAGTTCAAAGTTGTACTATGTAACTTTATGTTTGGCAGTCTGTCACCAGCTTGTTTCTATGGATATGGTATTAGAAACAATAGCCTAGAATGTTCCACAGCATGACATTAAAAAGCACTATCTTACATTTATTCAGTTACAGGTGGTTTTATATCTTAAAAATACTTACTGTATTTTTCGAACCATAAGTCGCTCCGGAATAGAAGTTGTACCAACCAAAAAATGCTTAATGAAGAAGGAAAAAACATATACAAGTCACACCGGACCATAAGTCGTACTTTTTGGGGGAAATTTTTTTTTATAAAATCAGAGACCAGGAACCGACATTTGATCTTGAAAGGCAAGTTATAGTAATGTCTCATTAGAACAGAAAACAACAGGCTGTTAACGTCACATATGAACAGTTCTTCAGATAACTATAGCATAAACAACAGAACAGAACAAGTTTACCAAACTCTCGATCTCACTCCAAATCACTAAATCCATTGAATTCTTTATCCTCGGTGTCACTTCTGAGTAACTCCGCAACCTCTGGAGGTAAACGGAGCGTCGCTTCCTCTTCTGTGTCGCTGTCATCAGACTCAGCCTCAGATCAAGTTAGCATTATTCTGGCCTTTCTAAATCCCGACAGGATGGTTTCAGTTGTCAGTGAAGTCACTTAAATTTAAAATTTTCAGGAGACATGGGCAGTAGAGCAAAGTGACAGTGGTACAGAAGTAACAGGAGTAGCAGATACTGACACACAAGCCTAGAGCGCCCTCTCAAGGCTGTCAGTGTGTGAAAATTTTAATATAGAAGTCACACCGGAATATAAGTCACAGGAAACGCCCAAATCATTAAAAAAAAGTGTGACTTATAGTCCAAAATATATGGTATAAAGACAGGCAGTCTGACTGTGAGTGCAGTTGCTTCATCACAGATCTGACTTGGTCTGGTTTGGTCACCATGAAGACATAAAGGTTTAATGCCATACTGTGAAACATTTTAGACAAAGCAGTAACATCTCCATGGAGACGAGCATCTAACAGACCCTCCACCAGAAAAGTGACACAATTCATCTTTAAGTAAATGCAATTTATTTTAATTAAATATCAAATGTAATGAATGTATATTTGTAATGATGAAACGAAGAATTTATATTTCAATCGACCCAAGAAGACTAAACCGGGAATGACTCAGGACTGAATCAGGACTTAACCAGGACTAAACACAGACTAAGAATAGCTGAGGCACTGCCTTCGGCTAATAGGATCTGTACACATAAACAAATAATAAATAAACAGTCTCTGACCTCTGCGCTTTCTCACAGGTCTGCTGCCCTATGACTTCATCTGTGTCCAGACCAAACCAGGACTAAACCAGGACTAAATTAGGCGACTACACCAGGACTACACCAGGACTACACCAGGACTACACCAGGACTACACCAGGACTGCACCAGGACTACACCGGTACTAATCAAGAGGGCAAAACCAGAGGGCAAAACCAGAGGGCAAAACCAGAGGACTAAACCAGAGGGCAAAACCAGAGGGCAAAACCAGAGGGCAAAACCAGAGGACTAAACCAGAGGACTAAACCAGAGGACTAAACCAGAGGACTAAACCAGAGGACTAAACCAGAGGACAAAACCACAGGACAAAACCACAGGACAAAACCACAGGACAAAACCACAGGACTAAACCACAGGACTAAACCACAGGACTAAACCAGGACTAAGTCTAGCTGATGTCACTGCTTTCAGCTAATGTGATCCATATAAATAAACAAATCATAAATAAACAGTGAGTGACCTCCTCTTCTGTCTTTCCCAGGTCTGCTCCCGTATAATTTCATCTGTGTCCAGACGGGGGTGATGCTGTCTGAACTCACCTCTCTGGACGATCTGTTTTCGTGGGAGAGGCTGCTGCAGCTGCTGGGCATCGCCTGCGTGGCTCTCCTGCCCGGTGCCCTGATCCGCCGCTTCAGCCAGAGGAAACTCAAACTGGACGCCCCCGAACAGAACGGCATCGTGGACAAAAAAGTCCAGTGAAAAAGCTGAAATCCTCTGTGGACTTTTGGACTTGAATGTTTTTATTGTGTCTCTCCTGGAAGCCTTTGTTTTAGGTTTATTCAGCGTTTACATTGAAGCACATTACAGGAGAGAGAGGCGGAGAGAGAAGGATTTTAAGATGTATTTTTATGCACAGATGTTGGCTCATGTGTTGCCAACATTATATGCCAAGTGAACTGTTTGTGTATGCCCGTGTGTACAGCAAAATTAAGGGAATGTTTGTGGAAATTTCCTACATTACCAAACGTTTTTGGTATTTTTGGTGAAAGTGTTTCAAAGTGCCTGTCATGCAGCAATGGACTCTTGCCTTCTACCTCAAGCTCAGTTAAAGGTGCACTGTGTAACCTTTCTGGTGGAGGATCCGTTACCTGCTTGTTTCTATGGATATGTTATTGCTATTACTCTGCCTGGAATGTTCCACAGTATGGCATTAAACACCTCTACCTTACTTGCGTGGTCTTATGGCTCAAAATTATCCCAAAAAACAGGCATTCTGACTGTGAGCGGGGTCGCCTCTCCACAGATCTGACTTGTAACTTGGTCTGGTTTCTGTGGAGAAAAGCATTTGATGGACCCTCCACCAGAAAAGTGACAACACACAGTTAAGTGGCATTTGTCGTGACCCATATTTGAGTTCAGTGTGGGGAGGGTGGGGTGTAAGAGGCACCTGTTGTGGCTTGGACTGACTATAGCTATTATCACTAACATGTGAAACCAAAACAAGTATTTGGACCAAAATGATTTCTGAAAGTATTTGTGCGCTTTCAGAACTGCAGGTGTGAAGATGCAACACATTTTAATTAAACAGTCAAACAGTTAAAAAGTTTGTTCTTCAGCAAATTGTTCTTGTTGTTGGCTCCGCTACCAGTTTCTCTTCCTCCCTTTGACTTTCAAACACTGACGGCCAAGTCCAGTCCAAGTCAAAGATTCCACTACATAGTTTATTTGTGAGGCATGGTTGATTTGTTCTTCTGTTTTTTTGGTTAAAAAAAAAAAGCACTTGATGTAAATGATCAGTTGGAGCCCATTGCTGTGTCTGAATACATGTTGCCATAAGAGGAAGCGTTTCATATGTGAGTACTTGTAACTTGTGACAAAAGCTTTGTGATTCTTGTGTGTCTTCATGTCCAACCTGCTGGATTTGTCTTTGAAAAGTGAATGTGTTTTTACAGTGGAACATTTGAGCCTTTAATTATACTCAAACTTATGAGATGTGTAGTGTAAAAAGCTTTTGCTTATTTACCTGATGTGTTTTTACATGTTTGGAAGTCCTACCGCCGAAACAGGTCAGGTTAAACAAGCTTTTTAGAGCTTTTTGGAAGAAAACAAAGTTTGTTATAAAAAGACAAAATAAATTTCCTAAATGGAACTTTAATTATACTCCCTTAATAGTAATATTTGTCTATTTTCTGCCTTTACATTTCAGCAAACCCTTGAGTTGCATTTTCTGTAACATATTACACATTTGGGATGTGAAATTTGTGGTATGAAATATCACAAATGGTATAACACCTTTTGAGGTGAAAATATTGAAATAATAAAACAGAAAAACTGTGATTCTTTCAAATAGTCTTTATTGCTCAGATCCAGGTTGCTCAGCAATACAGTTCACTCACAACTCAAAACAAGAGCGTGGCCATCACTGGAAAGGCATCTCTTTACAACACGACCATAAAACAGATGCTTTTCCGCAGATCACCACGGTAATGTCGAGGTGTTTAGGACCTTGTGACTCAAGGAAAATGTAGGAATTGAGGGCTGTAACCATAGATGCTGTACTCATTTCAGTGATAATACTTCTATGGCAGAGGAAACAGAAATGGTGAAACGCAGGTAAAAAGATGGATCCATTTAACTGAAAATCTAGTGCTGACGTGTCTACAGTACAACAGTCTCATGCAATGCTCTGTGTTTCTCCTTACACAAAATAATCACTTAAAAACTCTGCATTCATCTCACCAAACTTCACCAGTCCTTCAAAACCAACGATCTACAAATCCCCCTCTTCAGAACTGGATACTTCTACCATTCAACTACTTTGCATCACAAGTCATTACAGCTTTCCTTTCCTACTCCCAAAATCTGCTAGAATATGTTTATATATTTTCAAAACTGCTAGTTGTGGTAGTAGTGACCTAACAGGAATGAATATTCAAAGCAAAGAATCCAGGCTACTTTTATCAGACTATGGTAGATTATTAAATGAAAACCAGATTAATAAAACAAAAAAACTAAAACTAACCAACCACCGTGCGATATGACTAAGTACAGCTTCTGTGATGTGTGAAACTGTGTGGTTTATTCTGGTACCGAATACTTGCAAATGCCTAGCAACACCCCACAAAACTAAGAAACACCAAGTCCTTGGAAAAAACAAAGGTTATATCATTGACAAAGTTTCGCCTTGATAACGTTGGCTGCTAAACTTATCCAGAAGCACAAGACAAGACTGGGAAATCTGGCTATTCCTCTAGAAGACAAGTTTTAACAAATCCAGTGCGGCCTTAAAGAAACATGCTCTAATATAGCAAAGTCATGCATCGCAGTACAAGCATCGTATACCTACTTTACTGCATGTTAAATGATAGCAATCTGATTTGGTGAGCTAGTATCAGAATGAGGTACTGTTTCGGCTGTGGAGAGGCCCATTGACGAGGACCTCAGGCATTTTGTGACGTTAGACCTTTGTAGTTTTATTTCAGCTTATTTGTGTTCATTTGGGACGAGAAAATAAAGCCTCATCTGATGACTACAAAATTTGCCCTTCAAAATAAAATAGCACTAACTTTTACTACGTTATTGGTTTAGTAACTAAGTCAGCGTTGGATTCACAAGAGGTAATTCTCAAATTTACAGCACGATAAGAAAAAAAATAGATGCGGGAGATGGAGTCCCCCACATTGCAGAAGTGTTATCTAATGAGAGAGGATGGTTATCTGGCTGTGTGGCTATTGTACACATATTGTTTACAGATATACAGTTGTCTTGAACACAGTGACATTGTTAAGAGTCTACATTCTACACAGACGACTAGACGGTTTTAAGCTATTTTGCCAAAGTCTTGTCAGTGTATTTTTGCAGCTTCTTCAAAATCAAGCCCAGAGTATGTGGTTCAGTTTTATCAAATAGAGCTGGTAAGTACAGGGAGTTATTAGAAAATAATCACGGCATTTGTATTGTTGTTGTAAAAAGTCTTGAAAAACCTGGAGGTACAGTTGGGAAAACAGGAGGTACAGTTGTTAGGTTTAAGATTAAAGGAGAAGTAAGTGACGCTATGACAGGACAATAAGCAATAACAATATGTTTTGCATATAAGATCTTTTGAAACTTTTAGAAACAATATAGTGCTCTACTAATTTCTTTCATCCTGTTCACAAACAAAGGTTGAGTTTTACTGAAAACTCATTTCTCAGATTTTTGCCATAACTTTATTTAACGATCCATCACCTTAAATGTTTATGGCTCAGATGTTGTTTTTGATTTGGACTGATGCCCAGTTGGTACCAGCAGTGACAAAACGACAGTATTCTTGTGCTTCCAACCGTGATGAGCCTCTCCTGGCCATACAGGTGCACTGCGACTAAAACTACTACTATTACTACTGTTACTGTATGGGCTACAGTTTAGGTTTAATGAAAAGAGCTTGTCATGGATCAGCTAACACTGACAGCCCTTCAGTCAGTCTCTTCCTTCTCCTTTAACATCAGAGATCTGGGTGAATTCAGTACACAACATCCACGTTCAGAACCATGTGGGACAGGCCTGTACCCCCGCGCCCTACAGGCCGTACATACACAGGATGTGTCCAGGCTGAGTCCAGCACTACTGTTATGAAGGTCACCAGGTATGTGGACCTGACGAGTTTGGAGACTACTGTAGATCTTTCTCTTGTTCTTTTTGTTATTTTTTTCATTAAAAAAGGAAAATTAAAAACGCTTCAAATGATTAGTTAACAAGGCATACAAAATGTGGAAAAGGGGAAATGACAGATAGGACTGAGGTACCCTGAAGCCTGAGGTAGATCACAATACTGACATGCGCACTGTTCACGTCGGACCAAAGTTCACACGCTGGTCACTTCACTGTTCTCCCATTTTTTCAGATTTTTATATTATTATTTTCATTATTCATAGTCTCGTTTTCAAGAAAATAAACACTTCCCTTCAAAATAATATGGCAGTGTCCCACTGAGGAAAAGAAAAGAACTTTGTTTTCTTTTGTTTCTTATCAATAGCTCTCATCACAAAATAGGAAAAAAATAGATTCATAAATATTACTCTCTCTTTTTTATATATATACACGCACACACATATGCACACACACCGCGCACACGGGGGAAGCCGTGCGTATTGGCAATAACCTGTGTCGGAAGATGAAGCTGATAGTGATGTTTAAGATGACAAAATAAGGCAACGCGCTTTTTCCATGTCTCCATAGTAACTCACAGAGGGGACACTGCACCTGCCGCTCCAGCAGTGGGGGCACCGCTGGGCACTGCAGGGCACTAAAAAAGGCTGCATATCGTACATTCACAGCTGTCATGCCCATTTGAGAAAGCTCCCTAACAGGAGAGGGTTAAAGCCAAACGCTGTGGCCGGGTTGTGTGTGCCACAGGTCATACAGTGCTCCCTCCCAAAAACTACCACCCCAGAGCTACCTCCCCCCGCCCCCCTACTGCCACTCCCCCCGCCCCCCTACTGCCACCACCCCCCGACCACTGCCTCCTCTGTGGCCCGTAAGGCTGAGCGTGCCAAGGTGCACATTCAAAGCAACAAGCAAAGTGCACCGACTCTTTAAGACGTCTTTTCTTTTACATGATCGTCAAACAGGATGCCTCCTGTGATTCTATAAACTCTGGATTCTCATATATTTTGCAGGACGACAAGCATGAATGTAGATACAGTCTCCTGAATAGCATGGGAGGATGACAGGACCGGTGGAAAATAAAATCTCTGCTTTAACCTCTGTTGAGCAAAAGTGGCAGTCAGTTTGATGTTATCAAAAGGCTACAGAAAAATAAAATGTTAGCGGACAGTGAAAAGAATAATTTTGAAAGATGCAGATGAGAGCGCGCGACGAGAAATGTGATTTGGAGGATAAATAAAGGATGGTAGCATTAGCTGAGTGATGAGGGGACGTTATCTTTTGCGTTGGCACACACACAGGCTTGTTACAAAGACTCAGTCACTAGATTTATACTTCAGGGTTGTCTCAGTTTCAAAGAGAAACAAGGGGAAAGCTGTCGCAGCTCAGTCAGTGTCTGCAACAACCATCATGTTCAAAGGACACTATGTCCCACTGTCATCTCAGTACAAACAACAGTGTGGGCCTAGTGTGTGTCAGTATATTCATCTACTCTGCATTAATACTGCTAAGGATACTTGAACTTCACTCCAGCTCCGAAGAGCGAAGGTGTCCATTGTCTTCTGCTCTCTTTCTAAACCAAAACAAATCACAAATGTTAGTACCAATGCTTTATCTGATGTTAGGCCTATGTTAGTCCAACTGAAGAGATAACGTTATGCAGGGCGACTCTATTTCTGTTTTTATGTGAAGACAACAGTTTCCACCTTTTCCACCTGTCTTGTAGATTTTTTTGGTCTTTTTTGTGTTATTTTCGTATCAGTACGGTGTGTCCGACTCTCACAGGGCTGGCAGTGCACAGAATGCCCTCAGCCTTTGGCTCTCACTTGTTTCCCTCCAGAAGTTCTTTGGTTTGATCCCGGTGCTGGTCGGCCCTGCCAGTCCCCTTGGCCGTGGCCCGTGTGGGAGGTCAGTCCGTGGGAGGGCTACATTCATTGGCTGGTGCCCGCTGGAGCCGGGTGGGGGTCACTTGGCATGGTGCGGTGACACTGTGCCGCTCGACTGGTGCTTCTGCTCCTGCTGTTTGACCTGCTGAACGATCTCCCGGATCTTCCTCTGAGCAGTCTGAGGAAAAGCACAAAGTTACTGGAGTGTGGAGACCAAATGCTCTATAAAGAAGTAAAAAGAGGGAGTGTGACGTCACCCAAAGGCTCCAGTAAAATGAAGCTCACAATTCTGGCGGTTATACAAGCTGAGTTCCATATAGGAAAGTAGAAAGTACAGATATCTGCTCTCAAATGTAGTGAAGTAAAAGTAAAAACTGTTTACTTTAAAATGCCCTGTGTAACTTTTCTGGAGAGTTGGTAATGCTTTGGTTTAAATTGTCCTCAGTATGGAATTAAACTAATCTGTCTTGAATTTATTCAAATACAGATTATTGTTTTGTTGTTATTTAATTCTCAAAAATTATCTTTAAAAACATACGTTGTAACTGTGAGTGGGGTCGCCTCTCCACAAATCTAACCTGTAATTGGCTTGCAAGTCTCCATGGAGATTCTTAAGTTTATTGCCACACTGTGGAACATTCTAGGCGCATCTCCATGGAGACAAGCAGGTGACGGACCCTCCACCAGACACGTTACACAGTGCACCTTTAGGTAAAGTACAGATACCTAAAATGTATGCTTAAGTACAGTAGCCTACTTTTACTTCTTTTACTTTGTTGTGTTCCACTTGATCATCAGAGTGGCACCAAATAAATAATGCACAGCCCCCGTCCATCACAGGCAATAAGACCACTGTTTCTGTGGGTGCTGCAGTGGTGCATTTATCACAGAGAGCCAAGAAGTTCATGTTTTGCCTCTTGATAAACAAAATGATGTAATCCCAAAGTGTTTAAAGACCGAAGTCTGAAAACAAAACACAAGACTAAACACACCAACCTGTTCTCCATAAACTTGGCACAAGCTTTTCTCTTTATTGTTATGTTACATGAGCTGTTTACGTAAGGTGTACCCACTAACTGTTGCTTTCATATTTAGGTAAAGACGTATTTAGTAGTGTGATCATTCCAGAGCTGTAAATCAATCTTTAAAGCTGCATTGCGTAACTTTTATGGTGGGGAGTCTGTCAAATGCTTTTCTCCATAGAGATCTGCCTGGAATGTTTCACAGTGTGGTATTGAACCTTTCTATCTTTATGGAGATCAAGCTAGACCAAGTTACAGGTCAGATCTGTGGAGATGCAACCCCGCTAACAGTCTTCTGACTATTTGTCAATGTATTTTTGAGCTATAAAACCACCTGTAATTTAATAAATGTAAAGTAAAATTGTTTAATGTCATACAGTGATAGCAGGTGATGGACACTCCACCCGAAAAGTTACACAGTGCACCTTTAAATGCAGTATAAAGAATAGTTTGTCCTGTACATGGATGCTTTCATAATGTGCTCTGTTACTGGCTGTATTATGTGAATCTGCCTCACTTCCTCCTCACGTTTTCGTTCCCATCACAGTCATTATTGGTTGTCACGGAGACAGTTCTGATGACTTTTCTTTGTCAGCCATCTGACAGCCAAGCATGTCAGCCAACTGTTTCCATGACAATGCAGCTAACTTTACCCCCACGGAGCAACACTGCCAGCAAATAAGAGGTATTAGCAGTAATACATTGTTTTTTATAATGGTTTGATTCATTCATGTATTTTTAGAACTGTGGGGTTAAACTGAGAAGGGGGCAGTTCAGGCTCAGTGCCAGATAAAGCAGGAAAATTAACTTTGATGATTAGAATGTGTGCGTTATCCTATAGATATTTCATGTTCCTTATGGCTGGGTATCATTAGGATACATATCTCAATACAGTGCACTTTTGAGTTGATATGATATATTTCAAATCGATTCGATACAGCACAATAAAAAAATAACGGTTAAATCATGGCTGTGATACTAAAAGTCTTTGTTAAATCACTTCTTGTGCAAAGTTCATATGAAACACAAATATTTTAATTATCAAAACTGTGAAAATGTCAAATGAGTTGCATAAACGAGTTTCCTTCCACTGAACAAGCAACAAAACTGTAGCTCTGTAACAAAATATTTAAGTAAAATATACCAAAAAATACTCTTGGAAATATATCGATACAGAAGCCCAATGGTCAATACTTTTGCACACTCCTAATATATGTACACTCTAAAAAATATGATTGCCATAAAATGTAGTTACCTGACTGGCATAGAAATGTCCACTGATTTTCACAAACACCTCGTCATTCTCATCTGGAGTTTGGTCCCGTGGTACAATAACTTCTGCACTTGTAAGATTCTGCAGCTCTGTTACCTGAAAAATGCAAACATTTCAAAGTTATATCCACATGTTAAATGTTAATAAGCTCATCTATAATAAATGCCAGGGCCTCTTACCGTCTTTCCTCCTTTGCCAATGACCCTGCCCGCTGCAGACGAGGGGACCTTGATGTGCGTCTCCAGTTTGACTTCCTCCTTCGGCGAGAAGAAATTCTCCTCTTTCAGTTTCCCAAATATCCGACCTTGAGCCTGGAAAACACACATGAGCATGAAGAGAGAGTGAGGGGAAACTAGGGAGCAGGGGAATACACTGCAATGTATTTACTTATTTGTAAGATTTTAAGATGCAAAAACTTTATATTTGTAAGCTTGGTTACATTTTTCTAATGTAATTTTGTTTATAAATCTCTATTTTGTAGAGACTTGAGACTTTATAGGCGTGTTCTTGGTACATTCTTGTCTTTCCATTGATTTTACACAGATAGAAGAATAAAATTGGCATGAACTAAACACCTAAATCTAAACTATCCTTTGAATATTTCAGACAATTTTGTGTAGACTTTGCAATTGTAGAAAAAAACAATAACTGGATTAGAGTATGGTCCATGGAGAATAAATATTGTTGATATAGTTATTTGTATTTGGACCTAAAATGGGCTGCAGACATGTTTTCAATCACTATTATTTCAGTCATAGTTTACAAACTTGAGCGCTCTCCCAGGACTAGACTCACCTGAGGACCTGCAGAATTACAGGAGGTCAAATTTAGGGGAATTTTTACAGATATTTTTACACATGGGACGATTCACACGGGACTAGAAACACAGATGACGTTCGTAATTTTTCATTCTAAATAGACAAAATTCTTACTTTGTGTTTGTTTTGGTTGCTTAGGTGTGTTTCTCTATCAATGCGCTTCTTGTTTTGTCTTCCTCCTGTTTGTTTAGTCTTTTTCTATGTTGTGTTTTGTCATTTTTATGTAATACAAATGTAAGTGGGTTCAAGCACAGACCTTAAACTGAGCCTCTGCTGTTCCTGTAATGATGACCTTCCTTAAGTGCACATCGGGGTTTTCAGCTGGTGCAATCTAAAACACACACACACAAACACAAACACACACATACAAAGTTGTTATGAAATACAAGTGAGATCAGAAGTCACAATGGTTTCAGCTGACATCATGGAGAGTACACTGACCAAAACCCCACCTGAACAAAACTATGATTTTGTTTTCGTCAACTGAAAACTTCCAACATAATCCAGTGTGGTTGGTGGTACAATGAAGCAAATTTAAGACCAAAATATTTCCAGGAACCTACAAATCTCCCGTAGGAGGCAGTTATGTACAAACAAATATCTGCTGTCTTGAGTAGAAAGCATCAAACCAGCCACAAACTCATCACACATGACTTTTTCAGCATTTTCCTCCCACACAAATGATAGTATATAGACACCGTGTGACGTGACCTGAAATCTAAATGGCCTAAAATGAAAAGCAGGATTAAGAAATGTTATTGTTTAAACCTTGATGGAAGCTCCAGCGAAGTGGGCGAGATGTTTGATGTGCTGACCCTTCTTGCCAATGAGGGCCCCGACCGCCTGAGTTGGAATAAAGAGGTAGACAACCTCCTGTTCTGGAGCCTGTTGCTAGAAAGACATAAAACAGAGAGAAATGTGAGTGTTTTGAGTGTGCATGTGTGAAATATTCTTTCTATTCTCTTGGAAATTCACTGCTTTTATTTTCTACCAGCTCTTCTAAAGCGCTTCTGGAGACTGGTGGAGTAAATCAGATTAAAATATAAACACTGTGATACCTGGATCTATGTTTGTTGTACCTGTCACTACTCAAAAAAACTATAATTAAATAAATAAAAATGTGTTGCTTTAGAAAAAAAAAGCAATACCATGGGATAGATTTGGGTGTTAGACTAGTTTAATTGCAGTAATGTTCAACAGACACACAGGTTTGATAGTTGTGCATTTTTGTGAACCACCTGAAGCCTTTAAAGGTCTTACAATATGCAAATTTTACTTTTTTACCTCTTTTAAAACATGTCTGGAGTTGTGTTTTGCTTCATTCACACATGTTTTAGTAATCCTACAGTATTAGTCTGAAATTTTCCAAACTATTCTAGTGAGGGTATATGAAGTGTTTTCAGTCTGAGAGAAGAACTCAGCCTAAATATGCAGGATATGTGAGTAAACATATGAATGAAAAATGAAAACAAAACTCCAGATATGTTTGTGATGAGGAAACAACATTACAACACATTTAAAAAATAGCGTAATATGGGCCTTTTAAAACTCTCTTTTCATTGAATACTACTGGTTACAAACTCCCACCTACAGTTGTATAAAAAACAATTCACTTAGTCACCAGAAATCTATATTCAAGAAAACAACACAAACACTACCGATTCTCTCTCTCTTTATTTCTACATGACCCACTTCTTTAAAGATGTGCTAAAATATTTAAATATTTGTGGTGACTGACTGTTAATAGAGAGGTACTGACGCACACATGTGAAGATGTGGTCAGATTGCTTGTCAGATATAAATGTATGTTCCAGTGGTTTCTGTGATGTGTATGATGTGTGAGTGTCTGTGTTTATACTCACTGAGTGCTGGTTGGAGATGGCACTTCCTGATGGGACCCCGTACATGCTGCTGAGATGTGAAGGGTGACTCTGCAAATCAACAGCTCATCAGACAATAATAATCAGTGATGTGTCATTCACACACATGCGCACAGCATCAGGACAGATGTTAGTGTTCATCCGATCGATCGATAGGAGATACAGGGCTGTTTTATGGCTCTTGGTCAAATGGCAGTAAAGTATTGATATGTATTTATATTGTTGAAAGGTTCTGGTTGTCCAACATTTGTGCATCGTAAAACTCAGGATGTAAATACATTCTGTGTGAGTCTCCCAGGCCTTCATCAGGATATGAGTGGGCACTTTGTTTCACACACACAGTGACTCATCTCTGCAGAAGACAGGGGAACTCTGCTTGTTTCAGACAACACTGATTCAACCAGGGTTACCATACGCAAAGAGAAACAGCTGGATATGCAAGTTTTATTACATATATATTTATATAAGAGTGTCAGGGTCTGAATGTAGAAGACTCACCATGAAAGGGTTGTACCCTGCGCCGGGCACAGGGGGCACTGCACCACGGGCTCCAGCTGCAGCGGGCAGCATGGGCAGACCGGATAATAGGCCCAGAGTGTTCAGGTTCATGCCTGGCATTAGGTGGGCATGTTGCTGAGGGGGAACACAAAGGGGATTGTTAGTGTAAAATATGGTGTATTTACATTAATAATGATTATATATAGTACATGCAGTCAACATATAAATGTCAGTTGTGAAATGTTTGCTGTACTGGTGATTAAACATGCACAATGTTTTAATATTCAGACTGATCCCAAGCTAAGCCCTGTCAGACTTATATTGTTATTCGGAAACTCTGTATTCCAAACAAAGAAAATGAGCTGTGGCTTGAGGGGACAGGGCGCGTGGCATCGCAGCACACTACTGCGTTTCCAGAAATATATTGTAATGTGAACAGTTGTCCGATAGATGGCGCCACCTTCTAACTATAAATATTGCAAACCAGCAGGTAGGGATAACGATTTTCACTTGGAGGTATTCACATGCAAGGATATTGCAACTGAGGAAATTAAGCAAAAGTAGAAAAGTTTTGTACAAAAACTAAAAGCTTCAACTTAATTTTACTCCTGCCAAGAAAACCATTAACTGAAGCATTCCCTGTATTTATTAGCATCACAAATCCTGCTGCAGTGCCCTCCCTAACTCGCTTCCTCTCCACTTGACCTCTCAGGCTGCAGAGCTGGTGATGTCATTGGGTCGGTGTGAAAGAGGAGCAGCCTACAGATATCAGATGGATGCTGGGAAACGCAGTGCATTTCAAAAGGGACACAAACGCAACAACGAGGGACAGCGTCTGAGTCACACACAAGTCAGACAGACACACAGAGATTAAAGGGCCTAGTCACTGATATGTTTACGGTTATTTATTTACTTAAAGCATCACCACACGTATTAGTAATGCAGGGTTAAGTGGGGCTGATGGTGAGGCCCTGTTTCCCCGCAGTAGATCACAGTTCCCCTCTCGTGTTCACCTGTCTCTGCTCATGAGTCAATCTGAGATCACCAGCACAGAGGAGAAGAAGAGGAGGGGGAGAAGAGGGGAAAAGGAAAAGAGGAGGGCCAGAGGAGGGGGAGAGGAAAGGAGAAGGAGCAGAGAAGGGGGAGAGGAAAAGTGGAGCCAAAGAAAGGCAGAGAAGAGGAGCAGCAGTGGAGGAACAGTAGAGGGGGAGAGGAGAGGAAAAGAGGATGAGCAGAGGAAAGGCAGCGTAGGAGGAGAGGAAGAGCAGAAGAGGGGGAGAAGAAAAAGGAGGAGGAGGAGGAGGAGAAGGGGAGGAGAGGAAGAGAAGCAGGGGAGGAGGCAAGGAAAAGAGGAGAAGCACAGGAAGAAAGGAGAAGAGAAGATGCAAAGGAACAGTAGAGGGGGAGAGGAAAAGAGGATGCACAGAGGACAGGCCAAGGAAAAAGAGGGGAGGAGCAGAAGGGAAAAGAGGAGGACCAGAGGATGAGCAGAGTAGAAGCAGCATAGGAGGAGAGGAAGAGGCAGAAGCAGAGGAAGAAAGTAGGAGCAGAGAGGAAGTGGAGGGGGAGAAGAGGGGAAGAGGAAAAAAGGGGAAGAAGAGGAGGGGGAAAAGAGGTGGAGAGGAAAAGAGGAGGCGCAGAAGAGAGGGAGAGGAAAAGAGGATGCGCAGAGGACAGGCAGAGGAAGAAGAGAGGAGGAGCAGAAGGGAGAAGAGGAAGAGCAGAGGAAAGCAGAAGAGGACCAGAGGATGAACAAAGGAGAGGCAGTGCATTAGGAGAGGAAAAGAAAAAAGGAGAAGCTGAGGAAAAGAAGAGGAGGAGAAGAGGAAGAGGAGAAGCAGGGGAAGAGGAGAAGAAAAGAAAAGAAGCAGAGGAAGAAAGGAAGAGAGGAGATGCAAAGTAGGAGCAGAGGCTGGACAGAAAAGTGGGAGCAGAGGAGCAGAAGAGGGAGCAAGGAAAAGAGGAGCAAAGGAGAGACCTAAGAGGAGGAGGAGAGGAAAGAAGGAGCAGAAACGGAGCAGAGGAAGAGGAAAAGGAGGAGAGGAGGAGCGATGCACTTACATGAATAGCAGCAACGTCGTTCTCATAGGCCTCTCTCAGTTTCTTACTGATCTCCTTCTCAGCGTGGCAGAGGTTGTCCAGAGAGCCCTTCACCACTATGGTCCGCTCCGGGTTACAATAGGCCATTTCAAATAATCTGCACAAAGAAAATGATTATTATTAGTATAGATTATATTAATTTGTATAATATAATTTTAACTAATAACATCAAATTATGAGAAATGTGACAAAACAGAGATAAATTACATGAGTTCATTTTATGTCAACCCATTTACACAAGGGTTACTAATGTATTTTATGTTGTTTTTTCCTATGGCTACAGCCCACCACGCTGTACACAGACTGGAGCAGACGACGTGGGCGAAGTGTCTTGTCCACACACACAATAACATTATAAGCTTGGTGAGATTTGAACCAGCAACCCTCCAGTTTCAGGGGCAAAATCTCCACCTAATTTCCCACTGTAGTATATATGTTATATTGTTGTTTCCTCATCACAAACAGACCTGGAGTTGTGTTTTGCTTCATTCACACACGTTTAACACACAAATCCTGTACTTTTAGGCTGAGTTCTTCTCTCAAACAGCCTTGCTCCACCTTTTGATGTCATATTCAATGGGCCAATATTAAAAATGAATATAGATCAACTGCAGATTTTTATTATAATACAGTGAGTTTTAGGGTCTCGTCATTAATAAAATTGCTGTTTCAACATTTGTGCATTTACGTTTTGGATATTTCATTGTAAAGTAGAATGGTAATTAATAGGGAAATGTGATGGAAATTTATATTGTGGAAAGATTTCTCTCAGTCTGTCTTTGTGTAAATGAATGTGATTTCTACCTGAAACCTTGACCAGTCATTAGCATGTGTAAAGGCTCAGCAGACACAACTGTCCTCACTCAGGAAGCCCTTTGTTGTCTTGCCTTTCCTATCCTCAAATGTAAGTTGATTAGGACAACCCTGTGAAACAAGTGTCACTCTGCTTTGACATGTATGTAACTTGTATTTCTGCATAAATACTCTGAGTATTCTAAGCTCAAATGCTCTGGGGCAAAGACTCAGGGTCATACTGCTGGTGAGGAGAGGCTGCTGGTCTGTGGTCAGAGCAGGACTAGGCCCTGTCCATATCTGCTGTAACAAGAATAAACCTTTGCCTGTATTCCAAAAACTCACCTGGCTTCGCAAATGGATTAATTATTTATCATCAAGAGACACATAATTTTTTCCACAACAGAAATCTGTCTCTTGCCCCCCATCTGGGAGGAAAACATCATCACATTCTAAAATCTGAAAACTACCAACACAGGAAGTGCTCCAATGTGTTTTTAAACTCCATACACCTTAACTAGAATCATTTGGATCATTTAGTCCTGGAAATGCTAATCCCTACTGAACAAAATGTGACTGTTATCTTGAAAACTACCTCTTCATGACATCACAAGGTGGAGCAGAGCATTTTGAGCTTTGGAGATGTAGACAGCCAAATAAGGCTACGCTCAGACAGCAGCTCAGGCTTAATGCTCATTTCGGATTTTTTTGCAGTGTTGTTCACATTTCCAATTAAATGCGACTTGTATGTGATCTCCGGCGTGAACTTTAAATGCCCCAAAAGTCCACATGTGCATTGGAGGACACGACGACGTCACATGCAGCGAGTGTGCTCAGTATTTACGAAAGTCACCTAAACACTGAGCTTGTCTCTCAAATTATGGTCCAGTTCTTCAAAAAAAGGACAGTTTACAAGTCCACGGCCGCCTCGTTTGTTTGAGTCTTTAGCCTCTTTGTATTTGGCTCGCAGGCTCTTTATTTTCTGTTAACATTGGAGCCATTGACAATCATTTCAAAAACCGCCCACTTTGGCCTGAATACAGCGATCTCCCAAATATTAATTAACTCCCTAACCTCTCTTTCCCTCCATTGACTGGACTCCAAGCCTGATGTGTAGGTCGGATGAACGTGACCTGTCCGTTCAGACTGAAGTCGCATATCAAAAGCGCTTTGTGTTGCATTTTTTTGTATGAAAAGCACTCTATAAATAAAGTTTGATTGATTGATTGAAAAGATTGGATATGTATCAGTTTTAGGAACACATATCCAAGTGGCCTGGGTCATTAAAAGATCAGATACTAGTCACATAGAGGCAAAAAAATCGTATTTGGGTCACTTCAGGCTGCAGACTGAACGTAGCCTAATAAAGGGTTACTCCAACATGTGTGAATGAATGTGCATCAACATTCTAACATGGCTTTAAGTTCATAGAGTTCATTTTGTGTAATACAGGACCTTTACCGTGCAATTTACGGGTGCAAGTAGCATTTAACTGATTTCAAACTTTATCATTAAACATGGTGGCGTAGTTGGTGCATAAATCTACTGAATCCACTCAACCCTGTTTTGGCCTCCTCCCGCTTGAGTCCCTATTACGAGCTCAAATTTGAGAGACAGAGTAATACATTAGGTTTAAATGCAGGAGGGCTGGTGCGTGGCCTGTTAAATAGACTGTAATCACCAGCTCCCTAATATCACGTTCTGCCCTGATGAAGCTGTAATCAACTTGTAACATTGTTCTTCCACATCTCACATAAGTAAAGCAGTGAGCTAAGAGGCTAAAAACTCACAGCTATTAAGTCGACATGTTTGGACTACTGCAGCACCCATACAATTACGCCAGTCTGGAACCACCGCTGGTCTCTCTTCACTGAGTTCACGTCTGCTCAGAGGGAGTTTAAAGAGCCCACATTACGCTCTCTTTTATGATATAATGTTGTTTCCTCATCACAAACAGACCTCGAGTTGTGTTTTGTTTCATTTACACACATTTAAAGGAGCACTATACCTTTTTTTGTAGGGGATCTGTCACCTGCTTGTGTCTATAGATATGTCATTGCTCTTATCTGACCTGTAACGTGGTCTGGTTTGGTCTCCATGAAGACAGAAAGGTTTAATGTCATACTGTGAAACATTCCACACAAAGCAATAACATCTCCATGGAGAAAAGCACTTGACGGCAGAGTCCTACATGGGTAAATTTTTTGAGACCCACACCCACCCGCACCCGCACAGTACAGCACCACACCCCCCGTTAAGCCGTGATTATATCAAAGTTAAACCCGAACCCGCCTGGACCCGTTTTCCACCTGTTATACATCCGTGCTCTTCATAAGTCACACATAAAAGCTTTCTAACTGAAGCGTCCATCAGAATATGAACTGAAAAGTTACAACTTCAAGAATTACAATCACAAAATGAAATGTAACGGTTTCACAGACGCGACTCAACTGTCATTACTACACAGGCTTTATTTACTGAACAGAAGAAACATCGATCGAGATGCTGCACTTTTGCGCCGCACACACCATGAACTGAACCAGGAGTAAACCAGGATTAACCAGGACTAAACCAGGACTAACCTTGGACTAATTCCAGGACTGAACCAGGACTCACTATCGGAGGTGAAAGGACCGGCACAGAGCTCCGCACCCCATGGAGGTAAGCGCAGCCGTCGCCCAATCGTGCTTTGTGGACACCCTACTCCGCAGGCTCTGGGTTCTCCCTCTCTCTCTTAAGTTCAAGATTAGTCCTGGTGTAGTCCTGGTTTAGTCCTGATTTAGTCCTGATCCGCTAGTGTGTAATTACTACCCGCCCACATACTGGTCCTTAAAAATTCCAGAATGTTAAAACCCGCCTGTTTCAGCTATTTGCCTTTATCTTAACGGAGCCTTTAACACACAAACCCCTGCATATCTAGGCTGAGTTCTTCTCTCAAACTGAAAACACTCTGTTCCACCTTGTGATGTCATGTTGTAATACAGTAAGCACTCCACTTAGTTTTTAAACTCCAGACCCCTTCACAATGTCACTTTTCTCCCACTTGCTTATCACCATGAAAATGTGCAGTCTGGAAGATTTCACAGTATGGCATTACACTTACACTACAGGTCAAAAGTTTTAGAACGCCACACTTTTTCCAGTTTTTTACTGTTTACTGTTGACCAAAACATATTCTAAACTTTTGATTCATGAAAGTGTCCACCTTTGGCAGATATAACAGCTGAACACACTCGTGGCTCGTTCTTTTTACAATAGAAATCAAATATTCTTCAGAAAGTTCTTCCCAAGTCTGTTGCAGAAGTTCCCATAAATGTGTGACACTTGTAGGTTGCTTGGCTTTTCTCTTTTGTTCAGTTCATCCCAAACCAGCTCGATGGGGTTTAAGTCTGGAGACTGTGCTGGACACTCCATGTTTTCAAGTTTTACCATCTTGTTCTTCTTTCCTGAGGTAGTTTTGGCAGAACTTGGAGTTGTGGTTTGTTATCTTTTATCTTTTTTTTTTTTTTTTTTTTTTTACCTCTGGCTGTTCAGTATTTACTGTTGTACCATTTTAAGCTCTTCATTGGACTTGGACGACTTGAATTGCAATAAATAACTGGAAAAATTAGGGTGCTCTAAAACTTTTGACCAGTACTGTTTATTACCATGAAGAAAAGCAGGTGAAGTCAGCAAATTTGTAGAAAGGCTGCCCACTGCTCACAGTAAGAACGCATGCAATAACAGATGTAAATGAACAAATACATACATTTGCACATACACAGCAATAAAATCTCCTTGGCAGCAGACCTCTTATAAGAAAAGTTGTAAAGCTTTTAAATTGCACTATAGTTCATTGATTGGTTATCAGCTGATACCTGAGGTACAATGTAGTGTAATGTAGTTTTACTGTTAGAAAATGAGTCCTCTTTACACTGTATAGACTGGCCGTGTTTTATTTGAAAGAATTGGTGTAATAATACTTTAGCATTTTCAATAGAGCAACAATCTATAAATCAGAAATGCTGAAATAGAAATGTATTAAATGGGCCACATTAGATCCTAAAACTGGTACAGAAAATGAACAAAAACTGCTTCTGAAGCCAATTTTTACTTAAGAAAGTCACTGAGCCAGAGTGAATTTGTCAGTTTCATTGCTCTATGAAAAAATAATTTTCGACAGATATTACATTATTACTCCGCAATTACTTTTGATGTTGGCTGTAGTATTTGAAGAGACAGATGCAGAAGTAGCAGGTTAATACGAACATTTTAAGACCAAAATTACGAGGCTCACAGCAGCAGTTATAGAGAGAGGAGAGAATATTTTTCACATGTTAAATCATTTGGCGCCAGAGTCGATGGAGCCAGAAGCGTGTCCATGTTCACTTCCTATTTGGAATACGGCGGCTAGTGGGTTATTGTCCATTTATATATACAGTCTGTGGTCAGAGCTGAAATGTTTTTATCATAAAAACAATGTCCAAATGACCACCAACAAACAAAAACTACATCTGAGTCCAATTTTTACTTACAGGCGCACAAGCAGGTGGCAGAACCTCAACCAAAAAGTTACACAGTGTGCCTTTAATATGCAGTATCTCTATCAAATAAATAAATACCAGATTGAGCAACAGTGTGTAACTCACTGGAAATATTGAGGTATATTTGTATTACAGTATTTCTATAGATATTTTTTTTTTTTACTTGTACTTGTATTTTTACTCATTTATATAATTATGCCTCATTTGATACCAGTCTCTTTTTATTTTGGCTACTTATTCAGAATTTATTATAACCATTTATATGTTTGCTCTTAGTTATTATATTATATTGTGAGGTGTGAGCTACTGTGTTCAAATAATTTCCCTTGTGGATCAGTAAAGTTTGTCTAAGAGTCCAAGCCTAAGTATAAATTAAAATTAAAATTACGGTTAAAATTCAAATTAAATAAATGGACAAAGTAGACCCCAGTGTACTCACGAAGAGATATTAATTCTGGTCCCTGTGTCTTCCTCGATCTTCTTCAGGTTTCGTCCCTCCTTCCCGATGAGCCGGCCCACCAGGCAGTTATGGGCCAGGATCTTCAGAGGGATGTCCTCCGTCCTGGACACAGAGACACAGAGTCAGTCAGATACTAGACCTGTCATGATAACTAGGGATGTAACAATAACCGAAATATTGTGATATCGTATCGTCAAAAGTCTCACAATAACATCGTGGGATATCACAATATATTAAATCACAAGTTCCTTTGCTTAAATGAGTGATTTTATAGCAGCAACAGCTTATAAACAGGAAACTACATATCCCATGATTCATTTCAGTGCAAACAACATGAAGAAATATGTTTTTTACTTGAATTCTTGGGATTATGACAGAAATAATTCACACCAAAATCTTATTAAGGTATTTCAAAAGCAAAAAAGTGTCAAAATATCGCAATAAATATCGTGATAATGCAGAGACATTTGGATATCGTTACATCCCTAATGATAACTGATTTTGATATTGATATTGAAATTAATTTACGCCACTGATACAAAAAAACAAGAGCCGATTTAAACCACAAAAACAATTCTAAATTTACAATATTGTTAAAAAATCAAAAGCAGCCATAAACTAACAGCAGAATGAAACACTTAAGCACTTAGTTTGCATCTGTTGAGTTCTTCTCTCTTAACAGGAAACACTCTATTGCACCTTGTGATGTCACATGGTTATACAGGAAGTGCTCTACTGTGTTTTACACTCCATACACCTTTACTAGAATCATTTGGATAATTTAAGCCCTGGATTTGCCTTTCTATTAACAACAAAAGGTAAAAGGGGGCTGTTAATTTGACATCACAGAGTGGAACAGAGCATTTTGAGCTTTGGAGATGTAGAAATGTCTGATAATAAAGGGTTACTCAAACATGTGGGAATAAAACAAAACACAACTCCAGGTATGTATTTGATAACAGGTAACATTATAACACAACTTAAAGCTCACAAGAGTCCATTTTGTGTAATATAGGACCTTTAAATCGTATTGTGTAGCCAAAAAATAACAAAAAATTACACAATAGGGCTGCTCGATTATGGAAAAAATCATTATCACGATTATTTTCTATTTCTTAGTGACACGATGCATTTATTCAGCATTTCACTCAAAAAAATCCCCCAAACACTTTGTTATTGATAATTTACAAAAAACCCTCAAATTTAAAATAAATATAGGCTATAAATCTGTACCTTAGAGCAGTTTTGCGATGTATAAAACAAAATGAATAAAATATACTTTGAACATGAAAAAAGGCAGAAAAACATAAATATATCCAAAATAAACTATATATCCAGCTGTTCTACAATCTCTCTCTATAAAAAATAAAATAAATATACTTATTTATATAAAAAAATATCCCAAAATAAACTTTAATTGTTAAGCTTTAATTGTTTCAACTCGATTACATGAGTTTGGAAATCGTTTGACACACAAATCAAAATCACGATCAAAATTCAATTCATTGCACAGCCTTAGTACACAACATAAATACTGACGCCCAAAAAATATAGTTCTAGATTTTACATATTGAAGTCGATATAGTAATTATCATGACAGGCCTATTAGCCATATGGTTACTTAGCTCGGGGTGGTGGGGCAGATGACAGGGGCAGGAAGCAGCTGATGTGCCCCGGCCGTGCCCTGGAATGTGGACAGCTGCCCGGCCGGTGGCAAGTGCAGCCTGGGTATACTGGCGAACAGTTGGCTCCGTGGATTTTTATATGAATGGTGATTAGGCCTGTCATGATAACACGTTTTCAAGTGTGATGTATGGCCACAGAAAGTACATTATGGTAATAGTATAAGCCAGTTGTTCTCCAAATTTTCACACCAACCAAAACCGAAGAACATGAGAAGATTTCCGAGTGCCACCACATCTAAGCCAGCTCTGAAACCGGATCATTCCAAGTCTAAACCAGGTCTAAACCAGATCTAAACCAGGTCTAAACCAGATCTAAACCAGGTCTAAAACAGGTCTAAACCAGATCTAAAACAGGTCTAAACCAGGTCTAAACCTGGTCTAAACCTGGTCTAAACCAGATCTAAAACAGATCTAAACCAGATCTAAACCAGTCTAAACCAAGTCTAAACCAGATCTAAAACAGATCTAAAACAGGTCTAAACCAGGTCTAAACCTGGTCTAAACCAGATCTAAACCAGGTCTAAACCAGGTCTAAACCAGATCTAAACCAGGTCTAAAACAGATCTAAAACAAGTCTAAACCAGGTCTAAACCAGATTTAAACCAGGTCTAAACCAGGTCTAAACCAGATCTAAACCAGGTCTAAAACAGATCTAAAACAGGTCTAAACCAGGTTTAAACCAGATTTAAACCAGGTCTAAACCAGGTCTAAACCAGATCTAAACCAGGTCTAAACCAGATTTAAACCAGGTCTAAACCAGGTCTAAAACAGATCTAAAACAGGTCTAAACCAGATCTAAACCAGGTCTAAACCAGGTCTAAACCAGATCTAAACCAGGTCTAAAACAGATCTAAAACAGGTCTAAACCAGGTCTAAACCAGATTTAAACCAGGTCTAAACCAGGTCTAAACCAGATCTAAACCAGGTCTAAACCAGGTCTAAACCAGGTCTAAACCAGATCTAAAACAGGTCTAAACCTGGTCTAAACCTGGTCTAAAACAGATCTAAAACAGGTCTAAACCAGGTCTAAACCTGGCCTAAACCAGGTCTAAACCAGGTCTAAACCAGATCTAAACCAGGTCTAAAACAGATCTAAAACAGGTCTAAACCAGGTCTAAACCAGATTTAAACCAGGTCTAAACCAGGTCTAAACCAAATCTACACCAGGTCTAAACCAGATTTAAACCAGGTCTAAACCAGGTCTAAACCAAATCTACACCAGGTCTAAACCAGATTTAAACCAGGTCTAAACCAGGTCTAAACCAAATCTACACCAGGTCTAAACCAGATTTAAACCAGGTCTAAACCAGGTCTAAACCAAATCTAAACCAGGTCTAAACCAGATTTAAACCAAGTCTAAACCAGGTCTAAACCAAATCTACACCAGGTCTAAACCAGATTTAAACCAGGTCTAAACCAGGTCTAAACCAGGTCTAAACCAGGTCTAAATCAGATCTAAACCAGGTCTAAACCAGGTCTAAACCAAATCTAAACCAGATTTAAACCAGGTCTAATAAAGGACTACATCATACTTTCAGTAATTCTAAACAAAATTTTCATTTTTTTTTTAAGGTGTAAGTTGCTTTTTTTTTTTTTTTGGTTTTGTTTTAGGGTTTCTTTTTTGTTTGTTTGTTTGTTTGTTTGTTTTAGTTTTTTTTGTTTTGTTGTTGTTTTGTTGTTGTTGCTGTTTTGTAATGTTAAATTTTATGTAGTGGTGGAGACTTTAAAGGCGTATTGTGTAACTTTTTTGTTGTCAGATGTTTTTTTTACTTTGTCTGGAATGTTTCACAGTATGGCATTAAACCTTTCTAACTTCATGGAGACCAATCCATGCCAAGTTACCTGTCAGATCTGTGGAAAGGCAACCCCGCTCACAGTCAGAATGCCTGTTTTTCTAATAATTTTTGATTTATAAAGCAACTTGTAACTGAATAAATTTAAGGTAGAGCAGTTTAATGTCACACCAAATTAAAAAGTTACATAGTGCACCTTTAAAACTGAATAATTCCAGTAAAACCTTTTCAAAATGATCCCTATTATTTAAAAAAAACATGAGTGCAATAAATAAATTAAACAGTTTGTTATCTAAAAGTCAGAGTCACATGATCATAAACACAACAGCTCAAATGTTACTGTGCTACATAAGGCTGTGCAATTACTGGAATTTTTATTTTAATCTAATTGAGAAAACGTAATCCTCTTGTTTCAAATTGTCAGTGATCGGCTTAAGGGTTTTTTTAGTCAAGATTCTCTCTCTGAAAAAATAAATAGTTTGGAGCAGAGATCAGATTTTGAGAAAATTAAGTGTAAAAGGTGCGTTCTGGTGGCAGATCTGTCAACTGCTTTTCTCCATGGAGATGATTTGCTTTGTCTGGAATGTTTCACAGTATGGCATTAAACCTGTATATCTTCATGGAGAAACCAGACCAAGTTACAGGTCAGATCTGTGGAGATTATTGTCAGAATGCCTGTTTTCTATGTATTTTTGAGCTATGAAACCACCTGTAATTCAATAAAAGCAAAGTATAGCTGTTAAATGTCATACTGAGGAACATTCCAGGCAGAGCAATGACATATCCATAGAAACAACAACAAATTAAAAGAAAATAATATATAATAATCACTACAAGGAAAACATATTGCCCGAATCGTGCTACGAACTAAAATTCTCCACCAGTGAAAATAATTATCTCTATTTTTACTACACATCTTTATAGTGAGAAGGTGTAATCCCTCATTCGTAGACATGGTTTCACTGGCGGTCATCTGGACACTGTTTTGGAGTCAGTGTTTCAGTTTTATGCAGCTAAAATCTGGAACAGTCTTCCTGAAGATGTGAGACAGGCCTCTACTGTGACGCTGTTTAAACCCAGGCTCAAAACGTTTCTGTTTAGCTGCATATGACTGAAAGGATTTAATTTTTTATTCTGCACTCTTCTCTTTTAATGTTAATTTTATGATGATTATTTATGTTTTGATTTGTTTGTACTGTGATTTTAATGTATGTTTTATTCTGTAAAGCATTTTGAATTACTTTGTGTACAAATTGTGCTATTAAAAAAACTTGCCTTGCCTTGTTTTTACTGGCTTGAACTGGGTTTTATCTTAATCTGAGTTTACTAAATCCAGTCCAAGGGAGGAGTTTTAAAGTGAAACTGACCTTCCATTGTTACTTCCGACCCAATAATAATAATATTAGTTAAAGAGTGACCACTGAAATTATTTCCGTCAGAACCATAGATAAAGAAGTGGACTAATGCCGGGCGTACACTGTGCAATTTCTGGCTCTTTTTGAGTCGGTTTTTCACTCGTGTGACTGCTTTTTGGGATTGGGCCAAGTTTTGGCTTAATCATGTGTGGTACTTTGTGTAGTAAATTAATGCCTCACAACCAGCTCCAGATTGGCAATCGTTGTTC